GTATTACAATTAATTAAGGTTTTTAGTTGAGATAAAAAGTCAATGGCACGAGCGGGATTCGAACCCACGACCTTCGGCTTGACACGCCGCTGCTCTACCACTTGAGCTATCGTGACCTCGATCCACTCGGACACTAACTTCCCATCTCAACCCCACCTTTTGAATTTTCCCTCCTTTNAGTGGTAGAGCAGCGGCGTGTCAAGCCGAAGGTCGTGGGTTCGAATCCCGCTCGTGCCATTGACTTTTTATCTCAACTAAAAACCTTAATTAATTGTAATATAGTAATTGGTCAAGCGGACCACGAAATTAGTGAATTTAATAGCGACAATATTCTTCGATCGAATTAGTAATTATTAAATCAATCTATATTGTTAAAAAAAGTAATTATTGCTTGTGACAATCGGATCCTTCGTTTTCCCTTGATTTCATTTTTACTTCTTTTGAAGATAGATTCCTATTTTTATTGAGAGAACGGACAATTAAAACCAAATAGTTTCGAAATGTTCGGAATAAAAAATTTAATTTTTCCAATTTTCAATAATATTTTTATATTGTGAAATTTATTGTTGAATGACTACTTTCCAAGCTATATTCTGTCCTTCGAATTAAGAAGATTTTTAGTGAAGTCGGTAGTGTACAGCGAAAAATTTAATTCCAACCCAATAATAGAATTGTCGAATAATATAATGGTCGTTTTTATTTTGAATTTGCCGTGATAATGCTTTTTTAAAGAATCTGCATTCCGTTGTAAATCATTAATATTTCAAAGTCCTGATGAAAGCTTGACGAAGGAATTTGGCCCTAATGGATCTAAATTGTAAATGAAAATAGAATAAATTTACGTAAGCAGATAAGTAAATGTGTTCCATTTTCATACTTAAAAATGATTAAAAATAATTAGTCTTAAACTTAATTATGTTCAACTGATAGCCTTTAACTCTTAAGAAAGTATCTAATTATATATGTATTTCAACTCAAATATTTATCTAATTTATAGGTTAGTATTAACACTAAAATAATGCTAAAAAAATTAAAATTAATTTTCTGTGTCCAATGCCTCTCTTAAAATAGGATAAGAGTTAGTCCGCGACCTTCGGTACACATCGCTTATCGAAGAGAGCCGGCACTAATCCGTTGCAAAACAACACACAACTGCAGTTTCTTTAGTTAAGTACGTTCTTCTTATATCGATAAATCAGGACGGAACAGAGTAAGAGTCATGTTTAGCTCATTTCAAGCAGTGAACATGTTAGTTAGCTCTGATTTTCTGAAAAGCAAAAATATAAAAGCGTACATCCCGTCCTTTCTTCTAGCAAGGGAGGGTGTAATCCGAGGAGTGGACCCGGATCTTACTGACACTGAACTTTTACAAAGTTTAAAAAACGGAAATCCGTACATTCAAATATTATCAGCTAAGCGGTTTAAGAGGAAAGTCGACAAGCAAAAATCTGCCATGGAACCCGGTAATCTGGTTAACACTGGGACTGTTCTTATCACTTCAAAGGACAGACATTGGCCGAATATGTTACTATACATTATGTACGTTGCGAGGTCGAACCTTTTGTCAAAAATGTGGTCCTTTAACGTTAAGGAGCACTGCAAAGGATCTCTAAGATGTGCTCATTGTCTAGGAAAGCACGAACAGAAAGATTGTGATCAAAAGGATATCGAGGTGACAAGTATGTTGTAAAGGGGCGCACTCCGTATTCTCCCGAAAAGATTGCCCAGAGTATGAAAAACAAAAAAAGGTAAAAAAAGTAATGGCGGTGGAAAACATATCTTATAATGACGCCATTCGAGTTGTAACCAAAAAATCATACGCAAAAGTTACAACTGCTCCAGCTAGGAATGATCCATCAATATTCTTTGATAGAAATGTGTAGAGATTAGTGACCGTTAATATAGTTATTCAGATATCGTGAGATGCGGTCGGGTGTGATGTAGGTTTCAGAAAAACATTTTCTTTATCGTGCCAACGTTTCGATCTTTTATTGAGATCATCTTCAGGGCCTAATGGGGTGAAANACATTGAAATAAGTCCAAACAAAACATCTGGTTTAACATTGAAATAACTCCAATCAAGACATCTGGTTTAACCGTAAAATAAGTTCAATCAAAACATCTGTTTAGTTTATAATAAGTCCAACAAACCATCTGGTTTAACATTAAAATAAATTCAATTATGACATCTGGTTTAACATTAAAATAAATTCAATCGTAACATCTGGTTTAACATTGAAATAAGTCCAAACAAAACATCTGGTTTAACATTGAAATAACTCCAATCAAGACATCTGGTTTAACCGTAAAATAAGTTCAATCAAAACATCTGTTTAGTTTATAATAAGTCCAACAAACCATCTGGTTTAACATTAAAATAAATTCAATCATGACATCTGGTTTAACATTAAAATAAATTCAATCGTAACATCTGGTTTAACATTGAAATAAGTCCAAACAAAACATCTGGTTTAACATTGAAATAACTCCAATCAAGACATCTGGTTTAACATTGAAATAAGTCCAATCAATACATCTAGTTTAACATTAAAATAAGTTCAATCATGACAACTGGCTTAACATTAAAATAAGCCCAATCAATACATCTGGTTTAACATTAAAATAAGTCCAATCATGATATTTGGTTTAACATTAAAATAGATTCAATCAAGACGTCAAGTTAACCATAAAATAAATCAATCTAGATATCTAGTATAACCTAACCTTCTGTATTCTATAACTTGCTTCTTCAAATATGACACCTCGATATGCCTGATTCAAACTTATAAAATGTCCAATCTAGACACCTTAAAATTAATCTTCTATATCCGATAACATTACTCTTAAAGTAGAACAAATTTTGCTATGTATGTTAACGTAAAAATTGACAGAATTTAAAAGTTAGTTTTAACCTTAAAACAGGTTCAATCAAGACGCCTTATTTACTCTTAAAATAAGTCTAATCAATATAACTGGTTTAACATTAAAATAAGTTCAATCAAGACATCTGGCTTAACCTTAAAAAAAGTCCAAACAAAGCATCATTTTTAACATTAAAATAAGTCCAACCAAGCCGTCAGCTATAACCATAAAATAAGTCTAGAAATCTGGTATAACCTAACCTTCTTTATTCTATAACTTGCCTCTTCAAATATGACATATCTCATACGCCTGATTGAACCTTATAAAATGTTCAATCTAGACCTCTTTAAATTAATTATCTACATACGATAACTTTACGGTTAAAATAGAACAAATTTTCCTATGCATTTAAAGAAACATCTTCAATCTAGACCCCTTAAAATTACTTATCTATATTCGAAAACTTTACGGTTAAAATAGAACAAATTTTCCTATGCATTTGTCACGTTTCGATTTGAGTGTACCGCCATGCCCCTCCACACACATCTGACAGTGAAAGGAGTAGGAGCTAGGAAAAGGCTATTTTTTCCAGTCAAAAAGCAATTTCTTTTCTGACGTTGTATTGGATCTTCTTGAGGTCATTACAGGTGAATAAAGAACATCACTATTGGGTTTCACCAAGCTTACGGCGAATGTTCCGCCATCATCAGGGCCTAATTTATTAAAAAACAATTTTTTATTTATAATTAAGAAAATTGGGTTTGCACACAATTCAAGTGAGTAAATTTTATATTTTGACGTCAAAAACTAAAAATAATAATTGTATTTTAATTTAAAAAAGGGTTATAACAAAAAACATATTTTTATAAAGAAAACTAAAAGAGATAGCATTTGATTTTAAAAGTTATGTTAAAATATTAATTGTATTTTCTAATTGGTGGACAAAAATTAATAATAATAACAATAATAATTCCTTTACTTTTACCTTTCTTTATAAAACGAGAATTAACTTCGATTTTAAAATTAATGTTTGAGATCTGAAATAGGTTTTATTATAGAATAAAAGATTCTTTAAATTAAAAATAATAATTAATAAAAGAAATTGTAATCTTTTTTGAAAATAAATTGTAATAAAAGATCTAAATTTATAGAAATGATAAATGATGGAGTGAGTGTTGTGTTCAATTCTTTTTAAAAAGGATAGTTCCTACTCACAGTAAGTTGTTTTGCAACGTCCGGATTTCGAGCCTTTTAGCTCATCATCAGGTTGAAGGACTTCTACAACCACGTCTCTCGATATGAATTGCCAAAGTGAACCGCTGATACCTCCGCCAACGCAACGTTCCAATTATCAGCTGATTTTTTTAANATTCTAATATTTATTTGTGTTATAATTTCCGCGTTTCGCACGTTCAAATTGAGCGTCATTAAAAAAAATCAGCTGATAATTGGAACGTTGCGTTGGCGGAGGTATCAGCGGTTCACTTTGGCAATTCATGTCGAGAGACGTGGTTGTAGAAGTCCTTCAACCTGATGATGAGCTAAAAGGCTCGAAATCCGGATCGTTCAAAACAACTTACTGTGAGTAGGAACTATCCTTTTTAAAAAATATTGATCTAAATTTAATTAATATTTTGGTCTCGTATTTATTTTGGTTTGAATTGAATATTGGAATTTTGTATATTAAAAAAAAGGTGCCTGATCAATAAATTAAATTATTGCAGTCCGGTCCGATCATAAGAAAACCTCTGGGACCTTGTTTTCGGTTCTCCGCCCAAAACCGAAGAGACGCGCTTACACATTTAATGTAAAATCTTCAATCTAGACCCCTTAAAATTAATTATTTGTATACGATAACTTTACGGTTAAAATAGAACAAATTTGCCTATGCATTTAAAGTAAAAATTGTCAGAATTTAAATGTTAGTTTTAACCTTAAAACAGGTTCAATCATGACGCCTTATTTACCCTTAAAATATGTCCAATCAATGTGTCAATGTGTCCAATAAAGTAAAGCAGTAAAAAAAGGGATGTTTTTCATTCTAAATGCTATTGTGTGGATATTTTTCTACTTGCAGGATTCTGCTTGGTATATGCGCTTGTTAAAGAAATTATTATTATTATTATTTTCTTTTACAGAGAATGGAAAAACTTCAGGAATATCAGGGCACATTGGGCAGGCTCCACTCATTCAGGGATGAATTAAGAGAACGATATCACTCATGGAGAGAAGATAGGCTTTCAGGCGGCACGAAACAACCACCTGCCCGGGAAGATCAACCCGAAGATCAATATTCGCACATTTTCAAGTGTGTTTTAACTTATAGCATATTTATTAAAAAAAGAAATTTCTCGGTGATTTCGTTTCAGGAAAAAGACGGCCGGAGAACTTTTAAGAATATCAGCCGTGGTCATGGGGATCGAGTTTTCCTATGCTGCTGAAACGGCTTTCGTCTCTCCGACTTTGCTGACTATCGGGGTCGATCATACGAGGATGACCATGATGTGGGCCTTGTCCCCAATCATCGGGCTGTTTCTCACCCCGGTCTTGGGTTCGCTGAGCGACAATTGTCATCTATCCCTTGGACGAAGAAGGCCTTTCATAATCCTTCTATCCCTTGGAATTTTATTCGGTCAGTATCAAACACCATTTCAAAAATCTCTAATCACTAGTATCGCAGAATAATAATAATACAGTGTATGCAACAGTAAACATTACCATACATCATTTATCGATACATAATACATAAGTTAGAAGGATTATGTATATCTAGGCCTGTAGATTAGACACCTCTGATCAAAACAACGAGGATACACGACCAGTTTCAATTTTCCTAAAAGACTTAAGAAGAAACGCTATCGACTCCTTCCCCCAAGACCAATGGTGACTACTGGTCCTTGGTGTCATGGCCCAAGACTTTGCAGGCTAAGTAGCATATAAGACAAGCTTATCACTTGAGCCATGAGTACACGCCAACTGCGGCCTTGGTGCTGTTAAACCTTTCACCGCTCCATAATCGAAGGAGAAGCCAGAGCAGTGGCCTAAAGGCTCGTAAATGGACAACCATCTGCAAAGATAGGCCAGTGGCAAACTGAGGCGGGAGATACATATGTAATACTAGGCATGCCAATCGATGCCACTACTCGAAAATATAACTTCACCAACAAGTACAAGGTAATTTCACCAGAAGGGGAAGCGTGAGCACTGAGGATGAAGGACAGATACAATGGGAAAGTGGAAATTTCGGCCAATAAGAGAGCCAATATGAATCATCTATGCCCCAGAATCCTTGGCTTATAGCACCTTGACACAAAACCTGATGGAACAATACCCCAGGCATGACACAATGAGTTTCATAGAAAAGCCACCCGCAAGACTTACAAAATTACTGGACGGTAACCGCAACAGAACCAGAATTCTGGTTGGATCCTGACAGGGCACTGCCGCCTAAAAAGCACATATATCGAGTAGGAATAAAGGCAGAAGAAACACTGTACATATACTGCCAGGAAGAAAAGGAGACAACAGAAGTAATTTTATGATTTTATCAGGGTAGGTGTACATTCTTGCAACTTGGAAAGGAAAATGCGCAAGCATGAACCAGCATTAAAGAGCAAGGCTATAAAGGTTGTCTAACAACCTGAAACCGGCCAATGAGTTCTAAAATATGAGGAGCACAATAGATCCACTCGAGATGTCTCTTGTGGCCACTTCTTTTATTCTTATTCCTTCTTATATAAAATAGACAAGCACAAGAGAAAACAGCGGATATCTACATAACAATAAACACAACTACCTAACCGTTCTTCCAGGATAAACAAACACAAAACTACTGGCAAATTGTGTGAGAAGGTTATACTACTACACGATGGGGCATTGTGTTCTCACAGAAAAGAATTATTTCAATAATTATATAAATTATGTAGCATATCGTTCAGCCATAATTTGAAATTATTACAAAACAGCTTTGAAAATTTTTAGGCTTGCCACTACGCAATCCTCTATTCCCTCAAGAGGTTCTCTCTATTCGAACGAGATCCTGAGCTTGAAGAAGAACAGGTTTTTCACCCCTGCAATCAGACATGCTGCGTTGTACGAGATCGTCCGGTATCCTTCAATAACCCTCGATAGGAAAGCGGTTGAACCCGCTCGATTTTCTTTCTTAGTTTTAGTTAGGTTAGTAGGTTAGTTTAGTAGGTAATTAGTTTCTTAAGTTTTAAAGCAGAATGCCAAATTGGCACTGCATAAAGCAGCATTGGTAAAAAAGCGCCCTTATATTTTATTAAATTCACTAATTTCGTGGTCCGCTTGACCAATTAATACATTACAATTAATTAAGGTTTTTAGTTGAGATGAAAAAAGCTAATGGCACGAGCGGGATTCGAACCCACGATCTTCGGCTAGATACGCCGCTGCTCTACCACTTGAGCTATCGTGACCTCGATCCACTCGGACATCAACTTCCTATCTCAACCCCACCTTATGAGTTTTCCCTCCTTTTTGCCATTTTTCAAATGTCGTGTAATCGGATTGGATTCTCGACGACAAATGAAATGGCCTCGGAGAGCTTTAGTGAAGTGTACTTCATTTAATTCATTAAATTCACTAATTTCGTGGTCCGCTTGAGCTCAAGTGGTAGAGCAGCGGCGTATCTAGCCGAAGATCGTGGGTTTCAATCCCGCTCGTGCCATTAGCTTTTTTTCATCTCAACTAAAAACCTTAATTAATTGTAACTTATATTTTATATTAAACACCTCGCCATCAATTCCCCAGTGAATTTCGGTTCTAGACAACAAATTAACGAATTGCCCACTCTTCTGGTAAACAGGCTCTAAATCCAGGTCCTCTATCATTCTCTCTCTCTCTCTCTCTCTCTCTCTCTCTCTCTCTCTCTCTCTCTCTCTCCCCCTCTCTCCCTCTCTCCCTCTCTCCCTCTCTACCTCTCTACCTCTTCTATGTAAAATTTTCAACTTGTTTTTCATTTTCGAACAAATCACTTACCAATCCGGGATTCAATGGTTAATTTGAAATTGAAAGCTTGGAAAATTGAGACAAACCGTGGAATACTAATTAACGCATATTTTTTAAACGGCCTCCTTAATAGTCAAGAGCACGACAGGAAAGGAATTAATCCAATTGACGTCAAAATTTCCAGCAGATCGTAGTCTTTTTATTTCATCAGTTTTCATACTTGGTCTATATTTGAGATAAATGTACATTTCACGTCTGGAAAAAAATGTAAACAATGTCAGTTATATTTTAACTCATTGCATTTCGCTAATGGTGGGCATCTGAGAACAAAATGCAACTAATTTGGTGTTCAATCCCTTGTCACCAACGACTTTAAATTTTTAAATTCCTCGATCTTCAAGAGCTTTAGTTTTGTTCCCTGAAATCTCAGTCATAGTTCAATGTTAAATCATTCTGTTCTCACCAAATGCTTTGTTTTGTTTGTCTTGATAAAAAATGCGGATAAAATTGAAACGGCGACTAAGATTGTAGCTATAGTGCTTATAATTAATGGGAAGAGAGTAAACAAACAGGTTTTTGAGTTTATTGGTCCCAAATGGTCCTGTAAGGAAAGATTCAATGATACTCGACTGCCCAACCCGATATTTTATGCATTTTTTCCTGCCATGGCAAGCCTAAGACGCCAATTTAGAACGAAATGGCACATAATAATAATACCACCGGCTTGTTTATACAGCACTGATTGATCAGAACGAGCATCCGAGCGGACCCTGTTCATCCGGTTGTGGAAGGGGTTCCAATTACGTTATCAATCATGCTAGAAAGTATCTTGAAAAATAATAATAAAAATCTAATAGTTGGATGTAGCGTCAGATGGGAAATCCGAAAATTATTCCCCGTTAATGAAATCTTTGTCCCTGTCCCTCTAGCTCTATCTCTCTTTACACATCTGCAATTATTTATGAGAGTAGACGTTAATTCGTTTCGTGGACGTCAGTGGAACATAAACTACATATTCTTCCTTGTAGGACCATTTGTGGGGGAAGGAAAGGCGACCTTGCAGCTTGCAGGTTGAGAATTTTCCTATTTATTTCCTTAACTTTGCAAGTAGGAAAAATTTAGTAAAATTCTCCGGTTAATTTCCTTTCCTCATTATTACCCGAGGATTCAACAACTTTTTTAAACATTGATAAAAATTCACTAGTTTTCCTGGTCCGCTTGACCAGTTAATATCTTTCAATTAATTAAGGTTTAGAGGTTTAGATGGGAAGTCAGTGTCCGAGTGGATCGAAGTCACGATAGCTCAAATGGTAGAGCAGCGGCATAGCCGAAGATCGTGGGTTCGAATCCTGCTCGTGACACTGACTTTTTTATCTCAACTAAAAACCTTAATTAATTGAAAGATTTTTAAATTTGTTGATTCCTTGGATAATAATGCAGAAAGGTGGTTTTAACTGTACAATTTTTGAGCTTCATTTAAATACATATGAATTTATACTAATATTGAAATTAATATTTTTCGAAAGAATTTTTTTTTAATTTAAGCTCATTATTGTGGATGATGAACCACAGCAGTGGGAGTAAACAGATCAAAAATGAATGGTAACAGCAAAATGAAAAATTGTTTAGTTTTCAAACAAAATATTTAATAGAACAATTCAATTAAGGTTTTATCTCAACTAAAAACCTTAATTAATTGAAAGATATTAATTGGTCAAGCGGACCACGAAAACTAGTGAATTTAAGTAAAAATGAAGTATACCTTCACTAAAGCTCTCCGTGGCCATTTCATTTGTAGCCGAGAATCGAATTCTGACACGACATTTGAAAAGTGGCAAAAAGGAGGGAAAATTCAAAAGATGGAGTTTAGATGGGAAGTCAGTGTCCGAGTGGATCGAAGTCACGATAGCTCAAGTGGTAGAGCAGCGGCATATCTAGCCGAAGATCGTGGGTTCGAATCCTGCTCGTGACACTGACTTTTTTATCTCAACTAAAAACCTTAATTAATTGAACGATTTTTAAATTTGTTGATTCCTTGGATAATAATGCAGAAAGGTGGTTTTAACTGTACAATTTTTGAGCTTCATTTAAATAATCAAAAGTTCATTAAATAAAAAGTTACTGTAATTCCAAAAGATGATTAAAAATAAAACAAAAACATGACAAATATGGTTTTGACAATTTCAAAAAATAAAAGTAAAAATAAATAAATCGTTAAAAAAATAATAAAAGTTCCAAATGATTTTCCAGAACCTTTGGGACTGCATGACAGAAAAGACATAGGAACGATTTCGTGACGTCCGAATATTGAGCCTGCCTGCAGACTCCATGTATAGAAGCATGGACCCGAATATAACATCCAAGAATTTTCCCTGTAGAACCATATGCATTTTCTGTCATCAAATAGTTTTGTAAAATCAATTGGGCCTTTTTTTTTAAATAATTTTTATATCTGTAATTTGTTGCTTTGTTTTATTGTGAGATTTTTCCATGTGGTTTGCAAGATGATGAACCTGTCTGATGTGGATTGGTCAGATCATTGGTTAACAAAGTACTATCGAAGGGGCACATGCAGCCAGGCAGCCGTCACCACTCAGGGAGAACCAACAGGTTTCTCTGTCTTTGACACATACGTGACTGAAAGGAGCCCACGAAGTCACGATAGCTCAGGTGGGAGAGTAGCGACGTGTCTAACCGAAGGTCGTGGGTTCGAATCCCGCTCGTGACATTGACTTTTTATCTCAACTAAAAACCTTAATAATTGATTGATAAAAATAAAATAAATTTGCGACGAGATAACTGTGTTAAATTCTACTTAAATAGAGTTTTGGGATTGCAGTCAATTTAAGAGTCCAGTTTTTCACTCATTAATATATTTAAATAGCCTGTCTAGGGATGGTATTGGCTATATTACATAGTGCGTATGAGTGAGTAAAAAACTATCAATCCCTATGTCATATTAAATATTTGGCTTGAAAATTAAACCATTTGGCAATCTCTGCTTTGAAAGGATGGAACATCCAATGGAAGGATTCGACAGGCAACATGTTGAGAATGATTAAAGATAGCATACATCCTTGGAAGACGACTTGCCAAATGAACAGAAGAGGCGACGTGGTCATTTGCAGACTCCAAATTGGCCATGCATGCTTGACACATGAGTTCCTTATGAATAATATGTTGTACTTGTCGTTGTGGTGATCGCATAAGCGTTTTATACCCTCCAAAACACTGCCGTAGATTCTATACATCATCCTTAACCGTTCCACTGAGCCGAATTTTACAAGACGACCAGTAAAAAAGGTATGGTTATTAAATATGTAAAAATAATAAAACTATAAGAGGACCCAGAGGACCTCAGGGCAGAATGCCCAGGACCTCAGAGGATGTGGACTTCCCCATAGGTGTATGTTGTAAATGGTTTTTAACCACATCCTCCAAAAGGGGCTCCTTTCAGTCACGTATGTGTCAAAGACAGAGAAACCTGTTGGTTCTCCCTGAGTGGTGACGGCTGCCTGGCTGCATGTGCCCCTTCGATAGTACTTTGTTAACCAATGATCTGACCAATCTACATCAGACAGGTTCATCATCTTGCAAACCACATGGAAAAATCTCACAATAAAACAAAGCAACAAATTACAGATATAAAAATTATTTAAAAAAAAAAGGCCCAATTTATTTTACAAAACTATTTGATGACAGAAAATACATATGGTTCTACAGGGAAAATTCTTGGATGTTATATTCGGGTCCATGCTTCTATACATGGAGTCTGCAGGCAGGCTCAATATTCGGACGTCACGAAATCGTTCCTATGTCTTTTCTGTCATGCAGTCCCAAAGGTTCTGGAAAATCATTTGGAACTTTTATTATTTTTTTAACGATTTATTTATTTTTACTTTTATTTTTTGAAATTGTCAAAACCATATTTGTCATGTTTTTGTTTTATTTTTAATCATCTTTTGGAATTACAGTAACTTTTTATTTAATGAACTTTTGATTATTTAAATGAAGCTCAAAAATTGTACAGTTAAAACCACCTTTCTGCATTATTATCCAAGGATTCAACAAATTTAAAAATCTTTCAATTAATTAAGGTTTTTAGTTGAGATAAAAAAGTCAGTGTCACGAGCGGGATTCGAACCCACGATCTTCGGCTATGCCGCTGCTCTACCACTTGAGCTATCGTGACTTCGATCCACTCGGACACTGACTTCCCATCTAAACTCCATCTTTTGAATTTTCCCTCCTTTTTGCCACTTTTCAAATGTCGTGTCAGAATTCGATTCTCGGCTACAAATGAAATGGCCACGGAGAGCTTTAGTGAAGGTATACTTCATTTTTACTTAAATTCACTAGTTTTCGTGGTCCGCTTGACCAATTAACATCTTTCAATTAATTAAGGCTTTTAGTTGAGATAAAACCTTAATTGAATTGTTCTATAAAATATTTTGTTTGAAAACTAAACAATTTTTAATTTTGCTGTTACCATTCATTTTTGATCTGTTTACTCCCACTGCTTTGGTCCATCATCCACAATAATGAGCATAAATTAAAAAAAAAATTCTTTCGAAAAATATTAATTTCAATATTTGTATAAATTCATATGTATTTATTAGTCATAATTAACCATATTAATTATTTTAATTATTTATACTTTTAATCTAAGGTCTTGGTTGAGATGAAAAAAATGATTACTATAAATATTCAAAATTAATTTGAAATATAAATAAAAACAAAAAACAACTCATATGTGGACCAATAATGTTTTTTCTATATCTTATCATAGGTTTCTACAAAAAATAATTAAATATAAAATTTCTACAATAAATGAAGTAAAAAAAGTTTCAGCAAAATACAATTAATTTTTGCAGTAGAAACATATTTACAATCAAAAACTCTGAACCTATCCGGACTATCCAGTGTTTATAACAAAATTGACTATCAAATAAGAAAGAATAGAAATGAAAAAAATTTGACTATTACTTGTTCATTCTTCTGTATTAATTGAATTTTTATTTTAGGTCTAGTATTGGTGCCAAATGGGCGGGAAATCGGTATAAAATTAGGTGACAATTACCAATTGAACAATTCATCACACGAATCTAGAACAAATTCTACCGACGACACAACGCCCATTTCAAATCCCAAACACCCCTGGGGGGTTCTTTTCACCGTCTTAGGGACAATATTGCTCGACTTTGATGCAGATGCTTGCCAAAGCCCAGCAAGAGCATATTTGCTAGACGTTACATTACCTGGTATATTGACAAAGATTTGTTTAAAAAAATTTAAATTAAAATTATTTTATTTGTGACAGAGGACCATGCAAGAGGTTTGACTATGTTTACACTGATGGCCGGACTGGGCGGCTTCTTCGGCTATGCTTTAGGCGGAATTAACTGGGATCAAACATTTATAGGCAATGCATTTATCATTATTTAATTTCCAATTGAACAATGAATTTTTAATTGTTTCAAGTTTTTTCAAAATAAATTTTGCATTTTTTAAATCTGCATTTGTAGGAGATCTAATGGGTGGACATGTTAAAGCAGTATTTACACTCATAACATTAATATTTATCACCTGTGTTGTTATTACGCTTACAAGTTTTAGTGAAATACCTCTAAAAATCTTAGACAAGACAAATTCTTTTTATATGGTTAGTATTCTAGAATTAATTGTTTCTGTAGATCAGTAATTCATATTTGTCTAATTCGTATGTTTTTTTGTTTTGTTTTTTTCAGAAAAGAAATTTGCAGACAGAAGAAGCGGAAATATCAAGGAATGCGGAATCATACGGTACAATTAAAACTCCAACAACAAATGTGATGATGGTAAACTTTGCCTATAAATTGATCAAAAATTATTATTTCCAGACAAAATTTTTATTTCTAACATGAGAATTATGGACTGCGGTAGCTGACTGGTTAAGGTATCAGACTCTTGGCTAGTAGATCCCATGATCATGAGTTCGATTCCCATTGTCCCCTTTGCATTTTTCTCTGTTGGCCAGAATGAAAATTGAAATGACACTCATTAATGTATATATATTACGCAGGGCGGGTGATCAGGACCCGAGGGGTTAAAAGCCTGGGTAAGCCCGTACCCCATTCTCATTAATGTAAGGTTTGGCACGATCAGGTCTCAGAGACTCTGGATTCAGACCCCTTTCAAAAATAAGGTTCTTCGTTGGAAGAACAGAAGCACATCGGGGACTTAATTTATACATGTGTAGTTATGAGGTCCAAAAATGAACCAGGAAGAGTACAGTAAGCTGTAAAGCTCCAGTGTTCTGGAGGAACTACTCAGTTCTAGTATCCATAAACATTTTTTTAAATTATAATAAAAAAATTATATATAAGAATTCCGAGAAACTCCTCATATTTATATATTTAAAATTAGGTTTTATCTATTTCCATATTTAAACTGTTCCATAAATATTTTTAAAAAAGTGATTTATTGAAAAATAACCAATAAAAATTTGATTGTTGAAAGTAAAATTCCCCTAACAATTTTCGATGGAAGAACACAAGTACAACGGGGGCTCAATTTACACATATATAGTTATGAGGTCCAAAAATGGAACCAGGAAGAGTACAATAAGCTGTAAAGCTCCAGTGTTCTGGAGGAACTACTCAGTTCTAGTATCCATAAACATTTTTTTTAAATTATAATAAAAAAATTATATATAAGAATTATGAGAAAATCCTCATATTTATGTCTTTAAAATTTGGTTTTATCTAGTTCTATATTTAAACTGTGTTTTTAAAAATATTTATTGAAAAATAACTAATAAAAATTTGATTAATGAAAATAAAGTTGCCCTAACAGTTTTTGAATGATACACATCAATAAAATACATACATGGTGGAATTGTGTGGTGATTTGGCACGTGCTTGAGGTGACTGGAGACAATGGTGTCTCTACCAGTAGGGTCTGCGCTGACTTCCTCAGCACGAGTACTGCTTTACTCCACCATCTCATAGGGCTCTTATTGGGAGGTACCATGAGCTGGAGCGTCTCGGCAAAACGGTGGTTTTGTCTGGGTACTGGTCACATAGGTCTGGAGGGTAACAAAAAAGCGGATGAGGTGGCTAAGGTCAGGGCACCCCAACCTCCAGACTTAATCCAGCCCCATGATTCTAAAATAAATTGAAATAACAGTAAAAAGAAAATTACAGCATTGGTGAGCCAGTTTGGCTAAGACGCTCTTCCCTATCAACAGCATTCTCAATAGGTGGCCCTCAGAGGATCTGACTCGTAGAAGAAGGGATCATCCTCACCTGATTAAAAATAGGTTGTGCAACACATCAACTTGAATTTGGGCCAATGCATGTGTATGTGTCCAGCAAGTAGAGAAAGTCAAGTAGAAGTGTCCAACATAGTTGAATGGTGCCATTCCTTGGCTCCATATCGAGGGCGTATTTTTTTGAGAATTGTACTTGAGCTGGCCAAGCGAGTATTTGGGTCCCCAGTTCAGATCCTTGGAGGAGATAGGATTGTTTTATTATATATATTGATAATTTTATGTCCCTAGCATTTATTGAGAGTGAATGTATTTATTGGCGTGAAAGTAAAGTGTGAGACCGATGGCTGAATATTGAGTATCCCATCGGCCTTCAATTACTGTATTACAAAAGCTGGAATTGCTGGTGGTGCGAGAAGTAATTGACTCAACGTGTATGTGGTTTTACATCCATTTGAAGATTTCAGTTTATAGAAATCAGTAATTCAGTAATTAATGCCGATATTTTTTTTAAAAACTATTAATCAAAGTTAACTTCAGAAGACTGTTTCTTTTTAGTTATTTTATAATAATAATTATTATTTTTAGAATGAGACACAATTTCATACTGATGTGAAGGGCGTACAAATTGAGAAAGGAATAAATTCTGGAATTGAAGAACACAAAATTATAAAAACAACGGTAAATCAATTAATTTCTACTTTCTTGTGCATTAACTACTTTCTGTGCTGGTAAATAAATAGATTTCATAAAAATTATAACAGTTTTATCCAAGAATTAAAAAAAATTATCTACTTGAACAACTTGATTGACCGTCTTCTTAAATAACTTTGTGAGACAAATAAATACTTTCAGGAGTCAGACCTGACACTCACAGACTACCTCATGTCCATTGTGCACATGCCCCGTTCGATTTTAATCCTCTGTCTCACGAATCTATTTTGCTGGATGGCCCATGTGAGCTACTCGTTGAATTTCACTGATTATGTTGGAGAGTCAGTTTTTGGTGGAAACCCAATGGTAAATATGTTTTTTTTAAATATATTATTTGAAAAGTACAATACACGGGCATTTCAAGCATATTTCATTAGGTAGAAAAATAAGCTAACGGAAAAGCAATGCATATTACTATATTAGTTATTGGACAAAATAAAGAAGTATAAGTATTTGATGTATAAATCTCTTTTTTACTCATGAATAATGTAGACCTCCGTAGGGTCTGGACGAAAAAAAAAAAAAAAAAAAAATCAATTGTTAACTCCCATGCTTTTGACCTATTTTAAGGTCATCATTAATAAGTTTCCAATTTTTCTGAAGACTGACTCACCCCTACTGTAACACTAGTGTTGGTAAAAAAATTCATCAAATTTTTAAACATTCTATTAAAAACTTGATTATGTTAATTTGTAGACATCTTTAAGATTGATTTGTCCTGATGATGACCTTAAAATACGTCAAAATCTTGAAAAATAACAATTGATTTTGGTTTTTCATCCAGTCCATACCAAGATCCGGACTATTCTTGAAAACAAAAAAGACACACACCATGAAAGGACTTTGTAAAATTTGTATATATAATTGTATTTGGAAGAATTTAGCATTACAATATTTTGTTGAGGAGCGTTGATGAGGCATCGGTGGCTGGAACGGTTAAGGTGTTGACACAGTGCTTATCACTGTAAGGTAAAAGTCATAGGTTCAAATCCAGCAACCCTGACCCTTCAAACCCGACATACTTACAAATGGGATTTTTTTGAAAAACACCGGCACCCCGAGGGCTCATAGTACCTCATAATTGAAATACCCTCATTAAAAATAATATATTTAGTAAATAAATAAATAATCGTTTACACAATATGATAGATGTATAAGACTTTGACAACACATAAAGCAATTTCTACAGATGATATATGGAGGATTTATGGACTTAGGGATAGATAAAAGAGGTGGTCACAGGCCTTCTGCAACTTTGCACTGCCCTATTTTTTATTTTTATTTTTATTTTTTATAATTCACTGGCTAGCTTCAGGTGGTTAACCAAACCTCCATAGCCATGCCAGCGGCTCCTTAGTGTAGGATCTTGCTTGTGACTTTTCACATCCTAGTTGCAAGAATCTGCATATATATAGTCCTGCACAAAACATAAAATGTGTTCTACTGTCTCCTTTTCTTCCAGGCAGTGTATGCACAGTGTTTCTTCTGTTTGTACTCCTATCTGTTCTTAAGTGGCAGTGCCCTGTCAGCAATCCATCCAGAATCCTGGTTTGGTTGCAGTTGCCTTCCAGTAATTCCTTTGTAAGTTTTGCGGATGGCCCTTTGATGAATCTCTTCACATGTCTCATTCCTGTGGTATTGTTCCACCAAGTTTTGAACTCGTTAATGAGTCATTTTAAGTTGTATCTGTTTTGTGGCAGACGACCGAACGAAGACACAGTAAAATTCAGGAGCTCCCTCTTTGGCCACCATGTCAACCTTTTTATTGTCTCTATGCTCCGAATGCCCAGGGACCCATGCCAGTGTCAGGTCATTAGTGTCGTTGACCGTTGACTTCTGCCTGGGCCTCCATGCAGTTCCAAACACATTTATGGACTTAATTTATATTAAACTTTAATTTTTATTTTTATTTTTAGGCTTTAGAAGGGTCTCAAGAAAAGCTCATCTATGAAGAAGGTGTCAGATTCGGCTGCTGGGGAATGTCAATGTATTCACTATCTTGCTGCGGATACTCTTTGATCATTGAAAAGTTAATTAAGAAATACAAGTATGTGAAATGTATTTAAGAAAGTGCCATATTTCACTTTATAATTTTGTTGTTGCAGAGTTAAAATGACATATATTGGAGGATTGTGCTTTTACGGACTGGGCATGATCCTGATGGCAGTAACAAACTGTAAATTTTCCGTTATATTTTTTTCTTGTACAGCCGGGGTCTTGTATTCCACGTTGTTTACAATGCCCTATCTTTTAATAGCCCATTATCATTTGAAAAAAATGGTGAGTAGTGTCATTAATTTATAATATTTGATTTGATAATTTTTTTATTGTTGTCTCTGGTTAAGTTTGATAGCGAAGGAAATATCTATCAAAACCGAGGACTCGGGACGGATGTGGCGATAGTGAGCAGCATGGTTTTCGTTGCACAATTCACCTTATCTATGTTCATCGGTTATTTTGTAAGCGTTGCGAATACAACTGCTGTCACTGTCTATGCTTCGGGCGTTTTGGGATTGTTAGCAAGCATTTCAGCAACACAAATATTATATTTAGATTTATAAATGATAAACTGAAAGTAATTTTTCCATCTTGGGGACCACTTCAAAACACAATGTAATCCATCAATATGTTTAAAGCTTAAGTTTAATTATTTATTAAGTAAGAATCTTCTGATTTTATCCATGAATATTCCTTTTTTTATATGTGCTTCATGTGGAATAGAAATAAATTGGCATTTATTATTATTGTAATTTTTGGAAATGACCAATATAAATTATGTTCAAAAAAATAATAAAGAATAATGGAAAGTATTTTAGCCAATATTGATTTAAATAGGTAATTAAGGCATAAATTAATTTTTAATAATGTTTTTATTACAATTAATTAAGGTTTTTAGTTGAGATAAAGAAGCCAATGGCACAAGCGGGATTCGAACCCACGACCTTCGGCTTGACACGCCGCTGCTATACCACTTGAGCTATTGTGGCCTCGATCCACTCGGACATTAACTTCCCATCTCAACCCCACCTTTTGAATTTTCCCTCTTTTTTGCCATTTTTCAAATGTCGTGTAATCGGATTGGATTCTCGACGACAAATGAAATGGCCACGGAGGCTTTAGTGAAGTATACTTCATTTTAAATCATTAAATTCACTAATTTTGTGGTCCGCTTGACCAATTAATATATTACAATTAATTAAGGTTTTTAGTTGAGATAAAAAAGTCAATGGCAAGAGCGGGATTCGAACACACAATCTTCAGCTAGATACGCCGCTGCTCTACCACTCTACTACTATCGAGGCCACTATAGCTCAAGTGGTAGAGCAGCAGCGTATCTAGCCGAAGATCGTGGGTTCAAACCCGCTCGTGCCATTGACTTTTTTTATCTCAGCTAAAAATTAATTAATTGTAATATATTAATTGGTCACGTGAACCACAAAATTAATGAATTTAATGTTTTTTATGTTTCTTTCCCTAAAATCATGAACCATACATTGTAAAACCCTAATGATCAGGGGATTGACAATAAATACGTATAATAATATGTCATTATAGCCAAAAGTTCAAAAAGTTTTAATACAAAAACTAATATAAGATGTAAATAAAAATGTTTTGGCAGAAATTGTAGAGGTAGAAGTGGTGACTTTTTGAACATTGTAATTTATTGCCTCAATAAAATTATTCCTCTCTCTTTGCAAACTCATGAAATAAATTTATTAAATGTTATTTTTGTTGTATATGAATATATGGATCTTTTATTTAATTTTAATTAATTATACTTTTTACGTAAGGCCATGATTGACATTAAAAATATCTAGCGGGATTCAAAGCCGAAGGACTAGGTTCGACTCCTGCTTGTGACACTAGCTTTTTCATCTCAACCAAGACCTTAGATAAAAAGTTAATTAATTAAAATAATCAATACTACATACTAAATACATAGATGTACTTTTATTTAATGTTTATTCTGGTGAAATTCCAAAATACAAAAAGTAAAGAAAAGAAAACAGTTAATGTATCAGGTCAACGGGGTTCTTACATAGAATAAAACAAATGGTTTTAACACAGTTTACACATTTATTTGAACGACAGCAAATACAAAATACAAGCATTCGGCTTAAACCTATGTAAGGGGTTGTCGGTGGCCTCAACGGTTTAGGCGTTGACACTGCGATCATCACTGTAAGGTAAAGGTCCCAGGTCCGAATCCAGCGGCCCTGCATTCTAACCCCTGACATACTTACAAATGGCTTTTTTTTTCAAAAACATCAGTACCCCGAAGGTTCATATAACCTCATAGTTGAAATACCCTCGTTAAAAAAACATGGATCAGCTTCATTATTATATCCACCTTGTTCAATTACATATTTATTATTCGGAAATCGTGAGATGCGGTCTGGTGTGATGTATGTTTCAGAAAAACATTTTTTTTATCGTGCCAACGTTTCGATCTTTATTGAGATCATCTTCAGGGCCTGGGATTTACAAACATTGTTTAAATTTAACAAATAAATGTATGTTTGTAAATCCCAGGCCCTGAAGATGTTCTCAATAAAGATCGAAATGTTGGCACAATAAAGAAAATGTTTTTCTGAAACCTACATCACACCAGACCGCATCTCACGATTTCCGAATAATTATCGACTAACGGTCACTAATCACCACACATTACAAATTTACTTATTATTTTATACCACTTGCGCTTTGATTGTTTAATCCATAAATAGGCTTATTTACTTGCACACTTTTCCACTTTCTTCTAAAAACATTTCTGGCTACTCCACGGATATTTCGTCTGATAAATTTGGTTGAACATATGTCGAGACTACATCCATTTAATGGACATCAAGGAAAGGTTAATGTCCATTTTCTAAAGGTGGTAGCTTCAACTAAGTCGTATAACTTTGTAGGTGATATACCCCCAGGGGGAAAAATAATAATAAACCACCCTACAATAAGTTTTGAATAGTGGGCTTTTTCTAGACAAAGTGAATCTAATGAGGTTTCTAGAACGATGCTCAGAAATAACATCTTAAACCAATAAAATAACTTAGACTTACCAGTTATCTGCAAAACGAGTGTAGTGGATTCTACTCTGTTGTACTGCTCCGATTCCTGGGGACCACACAATTAAAACCATCTACATAATAAACAATACTATTATAAGGCAAATAATAAATTGTCTCTGTTGGCGCCAGCCATCTTATTTTAGAAATATGCTTCGTTTTAGATTAGTGTAATCTCTAATCCAACTCCCACGCTCCTTACAGTCCCAGTCCTGCTCTACTCCTAGATAGAAAGTGTCCTTATGCCTCTCTCTAATGTTGTATTTTTCTCTCCTTTATTAATTCAAAAGATCAAAAATCACTCGACTCTCTGAAAACCATCTATGCTTCTACATCATTCTCTTCCACATGAAATCATCGATATTTGGTGCTGAGGTCAGGGGAATCGGGCCCGAGCTCCCTACGCTTCGTGCATCCGTCATCTGAAGGAAGGTGGTAAGTCCCTTATAAATTTCACCCTTTGTTTATTTTAATTTAGAATTGTTTTCATAAATTTATTTTAATAACTTTTCATAATCATTTTTTTTTTTTCATTATTATTTTTTCTTTCTTTCCTTGGCATTGTCCATAACACTCTCAATTTTTTATCTAACATAATGCTTTATTAATAATATTTGTATTACAATAGAAATATTTTTAAACCATATAACATAGAAACTATGACAGATGATAATTGAAATATGAGAAATATATAAACTGTATGTTAATGATGGAAAAGACGCAAATTTGTATGAGCAAGGACGATATTATGTTTGTTGCAGGCCTCAATAACATCGTCATCATTGTTCGATCCAGCCGGGCTTCCAATATAGCTTACACCACTCTGTTTAATTAAGAAAAAATAGTTATAATAAAATTTAATAAAAATAATTAAAAATGTTTGACGTACGAGTACAGCTCTGTTGATGTTGTCGCTAAAAGGAAAGAAAGCGTCAGAAGAAAGAGAAACGCCCTTTAACTGTTTGACCCAGTCAGCCCTCTCCTGATCTGTCAGCAATGATGGGACTTGATCGTACTTAGATTCCCAAGACTTTAGGTCCATGTCTTTCCCTGGAGGAAGTTATAAAAAGATTAGAGCTAACTTGTACTTGACGAAGCTAAGATTTTATCCGTACCAAGTGAACCGTTTACATAGTTATCAATAGCGTTCGATATCTCAGCTCTTGTAACACCTTTTTTGAACTTCATTCCAAGGACTTTAGGGTGTTGCCTCAACCACCTATCGACATAATTTAAATACAAAATTTCATTAACATGTTCACTGATTTTTAAAGAGGCTCAAAAAACGGAGAAATTTTTTCAGTTTTTAAATCTATCTAGTTTACGAATGACCCTAAATTAGAATTTTGGTGAGAATATTGTTGAAACAAGTCCATATATGAGGAAGGTGAGGTTAGTCAAACCAACAATTGAAACAACTAATTAAGGTTTTTAGTTGAGATAAAAAAGTCAATGGCACGAGCGGGATTCGAACCCACGATCTTCGGCTTGATACNCATATATATATTTCAATTAGGTTATTTATTATGTACAGTTTTAAGTCTAAAAAGATTAAACAACCACCTTCATTTATTTCCAATGAAAACTTTATATTATGATGTAAATAATTAATTTATTGGAGGAATTTTTATAGATCCTCTAGTGTTCCCGTATAATCGTATACATAGAATATCATTTCCACAAAAGGACAGATATAATTAATTTATTTGATTTGAAAAGAATTGTTTTAAAGTTATCCATGGAATTTCGGCACTCTTCATTTTGGATTTGGATTTATTAAAGGCTCAAATCCGCACATGTACATACATACATACAAACATAGTTGAGCCTATTTGCTTCTCGTAGTCCAGCAATTCCAGCTTTTGCTACAGTAAATTATCAGCAGATTTGAGAATCGTCCACCCTGGGTGTTGGCAGTCCGGGGGTAGACCTCAATCTTATCCATCGAGCAAGTGAGCTTGGGATCCAGGGAGGCTGTCAACAGCTAGTTCAGTTCAGCACCAAAACCAATTTATATTCACGTTCATTCTTAAATACATTCAATTCTAGTTACATAACCATGCAATTAGGGTGATGTAGTACTCGTTATTCCTCCATCACCATTTACACATCTTATACAACTAACCTAATTGAGGGTCATGGGATACTCAATTTCTGCCATCGACCCTCTCCCATCACACATTCATGCTAATAAATACATTCACTCTCAACTATTACTACTATGTACAATTGAACAACCCCGTTTTCTCCAAGAATCTGAACAGAGGACCCAAGTACTCGCTACTGTGTTCAAGCACAATTCTCAAATCAGGTGGCATTCCTGCGCACTTTCTATATGGAGCCAAGAAATAAGGGAATTGCATCGTTCATTGAGAAAGGACATACCAAGCAAGTTTTCTCTGCATGCTGGACATACAAGGGCTTTGGCCCAAAAGTAAGTGGCCTTGACCTATTCTTAATCTTCTATGAGTCAGATCTTCCGAGGGCTACCCATCGACAGTGCTCAGCCCATTGATGCTGCCTTTTAATCTTTTAATCATGATTTTCATTACATTCTTAGTGTCAGAGGGCCAGGTCCTAGTGGTTAAGTCCAGAGGTAGGGATGTCCCGGCATTAGCCACCTCATCTGCCTTTTCATTACCTTCCAGACCTAAGTGTCCAGGTACCCAGACAGCAACCCATTTTGCCAAGAAGCTCCAGTTGTGGTATCTCTCCAACAAAAGCACTACAAGAGGGTTGACGGAAAACTTGTCACTAACCACAGTAACCGTGCTGAGGGAGTCGGTGCAGACTAGGTAGGCAGAGCCACCACTGTCTTGAATCACCCCAAGCACTTGCTAAATCACATACAGTTCTCTGCCGTGGAAATGCTACAGTGCAGTGAAAGCAACCACAAAGTTGCGATACATGGCGCATGCCACACCTTTGTCAGTCTTACACCTTCTGTAAAGACGAGCCAAAAACCAACTTCGTTCCAAGCTTCAAGAACTTAGCTCAGTAAAGGTATGGCGGAATAGACTACTTGGCTAACACTGTAAAATCTTCCCGGACAAATACAGCTGGGAGGACCCAGGGCGGAGGTGGCCGGTTGCCCAGTTTGAGAACCATTCCAAGTGATATCCCTGCCCTCCCTAAGGCTTCGCTGAAGCATATTCCTAGAGGTTGCGCCCGGGTCTGAAGTCACTCGTATATTCTACTATACTGGCATCTAAGGTTCTCACCCAAAAGCGGATGCCCCGGTTGGGCAAGGAACCCCAGCGCATAGCTGAGGGTGAGCTGCTCCCTCGAAAATTCAGCAGCAACACTCTTGCACTCCTCACTTGCAAAAAGGCTGGCCAAGGGTCAAGAACAAGCCAGCGTCCGCTGACCCTGAAGATTCTAATAGTAGAGCCTATCAAGCCTCTGCAAGTGCATTTTTTTTGGGCTAAAGTCCTTTCATTTCATAAAATCTCTTATTAAATTTATATCAATTAGATAGTAGACATATACTGAAAAATTCTATTATATCATTTTTACAGTTTGTTGATAGAGTTCTACATACATTTTTGTATTTTTACTTTACTTTATTTGAAATAAATTATTAATGTCAAATGACACTAAAACACAGTTGTTAGGTACATCTGTGTTCTTTAACTGTTTTATCAATCCTAAAGAATTGTTAATACCAAATGTAGGCTTGAAATTGGTGGTTTGGAGAATTATAAAAGGACACTACTGGTCTTATAGGTTTGTTTTCCTTGTGAATTTTGATCGTATAACATTGGGGGTTTCAGGTTCAGTGGTATAAGTTTTTGATTTGCCTCCTATTTTAAGCATGTACCTAAATAATATTTGACATACAAATTAATCACTAGTTTAACATTATTTTCTTAGAGATTTTGTTGGGATAATATTTAGACAGGTTATAATTTACGCATTTTTTCACACATTCAAAATAAAACGGCATAAAAATCAGCTTCGCTTTAGAGCATTAGAATGTCGCGTTGGCGATGGATCACCTGATTCACTCTTACAATTCATGTCGAAGGATGTGTTTGTAACTTCTTCAACCTGATGATGAGCATTTAAATCTCAAAATCATTTACAAAAAGTTGACAAAGGTAGAGACCTATGAAACTGACATTAATCATTATTGGCGGGCGCTTGAAGAACAAGCTTTGTCTAGAAGAAGTGTGTCATTTTGAAACAAAGTCCGTATAGGGACAGGTATATTGGGTCCTAGAACAATGTTCGAAAAGAACGTCTTAAACCAATAAAATAACTTAGAATTACCAGTTATCTGCTTTTTCCCCTGCAAGACGAGTGCAGTGGATTCTACTCTGTTGCCCTGCTCCGATTCCAATCACCTGTCCATCCTTTGCATAGCAGACTGAATTGCTCTGAGTGTATTTTAAAGCAATGGTTGCGACAATGAGGTTCCTCATTGCATCATCTGGCAACTGCCAATTTAAGCATATTGTAAAATATGATTGATTTTGCTATGTACATTTTTTTCATTAACATACTGTTTTATTTTTGGTGACAATATTGGAGAAGACGGATTTATCAATAACGCAGTCGTTCCTCCTCTGTTCCATCGTGAGGCCAAAAAGGACTCGTCTTTCAATTGGATCTGCCTCATACGTGGGATCGATTTGCAAAACGCAGTAACCTCCGTTCTTCTTCTTTTTCAATATGGCAAGGGCTTCGTTTGTGAAACCAGTTGCAATTATACCATCCGAAACCTAAAATTTATTTAAAATTTAATAATTGAAATAATAAAGCTTTTAAAATACACCTGTACCTCTCTGGAAATTATTTTAGCAGTGATTTCATCGCAAACATCAGAAAGGGCGACAAAATCACCGAATGATGACATTCTATCAGCACCTCTCGCTCTTGCATACGCTGTAGAAACCGGAGTGAGTTTATCATAGAGATCATCGACCATGCAAAGTTTAGCCTTTAAAATGTCACAGTTTTAAAAATTTTCGTACAAAAGATTTTTAGTACAAATCTTACATGTTCCTTTGAAAGTGGGACACCGACAGCAGCCCCAGCCGGGCTCACATGCTTGAAAGATGTGGCAGCCGGCAAACCGAGCGCCGATTTAAGTTCCTTGACCAGTTGGTAACCGTTGAGAGCATCGCATAAATTGATGAAGCCGGGGGCACCGTTCAACACTAAAGCATTAAATCAAATAATGTTTCCAACAAACCAAATTTTAAATTTGTTTTACCTGTCAAAGGCAATTTGGCTAGAGTGGTGAATATCTGTGCTGGCTTCTGATGTGGGTTCATTCCATAACGTAGCGTCATTTGGGAAACTCCCGCACTGTACTGTTTACGAAAATAATCACTGATTGCTTGGTCATATTCGCAAGTGTGGGTAAAAGCTTTGAGAGCTAATGTTTGCCTAAAAATAAAACCTCAATATAATAATAATAATCCATATTGTCTAGTAAATAAATATATATAAATAAAGGATTTAAGGACATCTTCATTAGTGCAACTGATTTTAATTTTAGATAACGAAGAAAAGCTTTACTGTTTTATTCAGACTTTTACCCTGAAGGGTTGTCACTCATCGATGTGCTGATCTTAGTGCCTACACATCAGGGAGTTCACTCACCCCATGTGGCGGGGTCACTAGTATCTCTCTTAAACCAAATGCCCAAGAGATCGTTGCTTCCCTACCAACAGAGTTAGGCTTTGACAGGAGCTGTCGATATCTAGGTCATTTCAGCCTCAAACGCATGCAAACTATAATTTAGCCTAATACCAATGAAATTAGATAAGTCAGTCGCACAAATAAATACATTTTTGCATTGTACTCATTCTGATTAGTCAGTGGAGTACTGGTTATTTCTCCATCGACCTATACACAGTATTAATAATCTAACCTAAATTAGGGTTGATGGGATACTTTTATAAATATTCTGCCATCAACTCTAATATTTCTGGAAGGGTGATGGTAGCGCTATATTTTACCATCACCGCTCACCGCTTACACTAATAAATATTCAAACAAAACACATCGAATATAACTAAATACAGTAAAATTCTTCCAAGTCCCCTAAAAAATGGAACAGGGTACCCAGAAACCGATTGCATGCTCAAAAACCATTCCTAAATTTTTCAGCATGCCTACACACTCTCTGTATGGAGCCAAGGCATGACACGCCTCTATTAGGTGGGACACATAGAGCAACCTTTCTCTGCCCAGGGGGCACCTGTGCCTTTTGGAAAAAAAGCCTGTGTGTATGGTGTATGGCCAATCCTCAATTGGGTGAGGATGATCTCTGGTTCAGGTTCTCTCAGGGCCGTCTACTCTTTTATCATGTTTTCCACTGTGAGCTTGGCATCAGAGCGCCTGATCATAATGGTCCCATTTGGAGGGTGGGACATCCTGGCTTTCGCCATCTTGTCTACATGTTCATTACTCTCCAGGACAACGTGTCTAGGAACCCAGATAACAATCACTGTTTTTCCAAGGCCTCTAGCTTTTATTGTTTTTAAGTTACCGAAGTCAAATGTCACCAATGATGATTAATAAATTCCATATTTCAAGTTATTTTGTTAATTTATTTCACAACTGCCTACATAATTGATCATGGGGCCAACACACCTTAATCGCCAAATAGGGTTATTGGGAAGAATTCGTGAGGAAAGATTATGGATTAAAGGACTGTAGCGGTTAGTTAATTTTGAGTAGTTTTCTATATAGGTATTGGACTAGGTCTTTAACAAATGGGATCAGGATCAGAGTAGTCTGTGAGGTTAGAAACATACATGGCAGTGTTAACTGTTGTTCTCAATACTTTTTTAAATTAATTTATTTTTTATTTTTTAATGGCCTTATGAACTTTGTATACTAGATAAGGAATTAACATATCTCATGTGTGATTATCTGCCTAAAATTTCATTATTGGCGATTTTTTGAATTAGGAGGTGAAGGGGTACACTGACATTTTTATCGAAAATTCACAACTTCGATTAGCCATTCAGAATTTTCGTACATTATTTCATTCAGTAAGGGGTAGAAAACAGTTCAAGTTGTGAATTCTCCATAAAAATGTCAGAAATGGTGAATTTTGTGTACCCCTTCACCTCCTAACTTCGAAAAATTGCCAAAAATGAAATTTTAAGCCGATCAGGCTGGTTTTAATCTCATTCGATGCAGAAATTAATCCTCTACAGGTGTTGTTTCGAGCTGTTTTACGGTCAGGATAACGGTTTACTAACAATTTCACGAATAAAGTCAAAAAACGTGGTTTTTCATGGTTTTTTGCCTGTAGCTAAGGGTTTGCGGCTGAATCGATTGGGGCCACCTTGTATATTTTTCTTGTTTAGTAATGTCAGTTTGGATCATTTATCAGCAAGTCTTTTCAACATTTTATATCTATGCTTTAGTAAGTGTTGGTATTCCGGGTCATTCGTTTGTATATGAAAGTCCAAGATATTGCACTTGTTTCTTATTTTGGATAGGATAGTTAAAATAAATAGGTGGGATGATTTTTCTGAATGCTATGTGTTTGGATTTTTGTTCTTTTACCTTGATTCTTCACCACAGGACACCGCAGCCAGGGTTCACGGGCAAGATGTTTTTGTAGATTATAGATTGCTCTGACTGGATCGTTATGAAGAGACAGAATTGTATCGTCAGCGAAGTTAAAGGTATTCTGGGTGGGGTCAGCCGTATAAATTGTGAATATAAGAGGAGCAAGGGCCTTCCCCTGTGGGACTCCAGCTCGAACAGGGTAAATAGAGGAAGAAGAAGATATTTGGGTGACATAGAGATATCAATCAGAGATATTTAAAGATGAGGTACATAAGGCAGTGGGTAGGATGCCTTTTAACTTATACAGCAGCCAAGAATGCCACAACATTTCAAAGTTTAAGCTATATCAAGGAATACACAGTGATGTGCTCGGTGGAAGTACTTAAATTATTTTTTATGAATCAGACATTCTCAAAATTATCCGTTACCAAAATATGTAAAGTAAATAATATTGTACCTCGTTGATAATGAGACTTCTCTTTTAGCACTATTTTTTAACTCTGAGGTGACTTTGTCATAATCATCTGGATCGCAGAGAACTGTCACTCTGGCATGATTCTTAGCTGCTGCTCTTAATAAAGTCACACCTCCTGAAATAATAATAACAACAATAATAAAACAACTAACATGAAAAAAAATTGATTCTTGCCTATATCAATGTTTTCGACAGCTTCAGGAATAGTGACATCAGGCTTGCTCACTGTTTTAGTGAAGGGGTATAAGTTGCAGACAACGACGTCTATCAATTCGAAGTTCATTTTTTTCATGTCTGCCGCATCACTATCTGTGTCTCTTGCGAGGATGCCTATAAATTAAAATTTTCAAAATAAATTATGAAAATTCAATTGTATAAACGGTCCTACCGCCGTGGACAGCTGGATGCAAGGTCTTGACTCTCCCTCCGAGCATCTCAGGAGCCCCTGTCACCTGGGATACATCTTTGACTGCGAGGTTGGCATCACGGAGGGCTGTCGCGGTACCTCCGGAGGCCACTAGACGAAATCCCAACTCATGAAGTTGTTTCGCGAGTGGGACCAGGCCTCTTTTGTCTGAGACGCTGAGCAAAGCTAGATTAACAAAAAAAATAGTAATATTTCTTTAATTTTTTTCAAACAAAACTCAAATGCAAGGCTTACTACAAAGTAGATTTTAGGTTATAGACCTAACCTAATAATTGCGAAATAGTAGCAGTCTATTAACTAGTAAAAAGGAAAAATTAACTTTTATAATAGAGATGAATAAAATGAAAGTGTGGGCAGAAAAACCATAATATTAAAACATCAAATACAATAAAAAATAAACAAGTACTTTGTCATTGAGAAACACAAGAAAGTTACATGGGATAAGCAAAACTAGTACAGTAATTATTTAATAATAAGAGGAATTGTATGAAATGATATTGGATGTATAAAATGTTAAGGAATAAAAACAGATGCTTCCTGTAAAGTAATTCATTTTTCCTTCAACCACTACGGGTCATTTGGGCTTGTTTCTTGATAATGGGGTTAAAATGTTCCTGTTCAAAAAGAGGAGGAAATGAAGAGGCTGTCAGTGAACAAACACCACTTAAGCACAGCCCACAGGATGTGTAAGCACTCATCTTTTTGAGGATCCGTGCTCTTTTAGGATTCCGGGCAGTTTTTGTGAAATGTGGATAAAAACCACTTACATCACATGCATTATGGAAAAAGTCCACATCCACCCAACTGATGCGGGGTTAAATCTGCCCAGGGTGTTTACCCATTCGACTCGCCAAGTATCCCTGACTGAACCACCCACCTGAGGATGCACTGCCCCTCTATTGTCACAAGTCTATTTCTTTTTTAAGCTACGTTATCTCTCCTTATACAACAATTAAGCGACTCGAAGTGAGAAAGAATGACATTTCCGTAATAAAAATTATTAACAATTAATAGTTACATTAAATATATCATTATAGATTAAATAGATTTAAGAAAAGAGCAAGAAAACATTTTAATTGCACTTTTTTTTGTCGAACTACAAACTCTTTTGATTGACTATCTCATAATTCTTTATCAAAATAATATCTACTATTTTTAACTACAGAATTAATTGGGCTGAAAAATATATAATTAACCTCTTTTTCTTAGGATTTCATGCTAGTCCGAAGCTATTTTTGACGAAAAAAACATTGGCTTAGGATTTTTATCTTGAATGTATTTATAGGTAAATACAAAAATATTTCTACACTTTTATAGTCAGATTTTCAACTATAATCCATTAATTTTTATGTTGAACTGGCACAGGGTCACTTGCTAGGTCTGTCTTCTTTCGTGGTTATGCATTTTTTTAAATGTATTTTTTCTGGGTTAGTTCGTACCAGAAAAAGTTGAGATTGTTTTGTCTATGGTGGTTGCGATGTGACTTTTTGTCCTTGTATGACTGAAGGTAGTAGTCCTGGCTGTTTCTGTCTATTATGGCTTGGATTGCTTGAATTACATTACGTTCTGTGTTGGTGGAATTTATGTTGTGTTTTAGTGCTTTTTGAAATAGTTTGGTTTGGCTGATGTTAAATTTTGTTTGTATGATGTTTATGGGTTTGTGCTTACTGAGGATTGTTGGATTCTTTTTTAAAGTTGTATACTTCTGTTGACAAGACCCAGTACATAACCCCCCCCCTCAGCCGGTTCAACCGTATTAATTATTTTAATTGATTCTACTTTTTATCTAAGCTCTTGGTTGAAGTGAAAAAACTAGTGAGATGAGCTGAATTCGAACGACCTTCGGCTCAATATGCCACTGCTCTAACCACTTGAGCTATCGTCACTTTAATCCACTCAAACACAAACTCCTCGTTTCAACATATTTTGTATTTTCTCCCTTTTTACCAAATTTTCAAATGTCGTGTAATCAGGATTCGATTCTCAGCGACTTATGAAGTGGCCACGGGGAAAAAAAGTATTTCTGTAATTATTATATTAATCCGTATATGTTTAGCAGTCGCAATTGACTTTATTAAATATCTTAATTAATTATAATTTTTTTAGTCTAAGGTCTTGATTGAGATGAAAAAGTTAGTGGGATGAGCTGAATTCGAACGATCTTCAACTCAATATGCTGTTGCTCTAACCACTTGAGCTATCGTCACTTTAATCCATTCAGTCACAAACTCCTCGTTTCAACATATTTTGTATTTTCCCCCTTTTTGCCAAATTTTCAAATGTCGTGTAATCAGGATTCGATTCTCAGCGACTTATGAAGTGGCCACGGGGAAAAAAAGTATTTCTGTAATATTATATTAGTCCGTACATCTTTAGGAGTCGCAATTGACTTTATTAAATATTTTAATTAATTATACTTTTTTTAATCTAAAGTCTTGGTTGAGATGAAAAAGTTAGTATATTATGAACCCACGACCTTCGGCTCAATTCGCCACTCTTTTACCACTTGAGCTATCCTGACTTGGACACCAACTCAATTTTTTTTTTGGCGTTATGAACTATGCATATTAGCCATGTGACAAATTCGTATATGTGTGTTCAAATTTGGGGGGTTATTGGGAAAAAAGGGCCAGGGGCAACGGTGGGAATCGAACCCACGACCGCGGCGTGAGAGTCTCTCATGCTAACCACTCGGCTACCGCGGTCCCCTTGTAATCTTTATCATCTCACTTAATTCTTTATTGGTAATTATTATGATATTTGGGATAATTACTAATTAGATTCAGATCTTTCTGATTTATCAAAAGAGTTCTGCTATGAAAAACTAATTAGCATTTTCTTTCAGTTAACTGTTTAATTTACCAACGATAAAATACAAGTTTATATTTTCAACTCATTTTTATCTCTTCCACCTTACCCTTATATATTATTATAATTTTTTTCTTAAAAATTTACAAAAAATAAATAATGAAAAATTAATCTTATTTCAAATATGTGACGTATTAACATATTTATTTTTAAAAAAAAGGTGTCAATTATTGATTTACTTACCAAGGTTGGGACTCATTTTTAGGAGAATCTGTCTTTCTTGGCACCGGCTAGAGATAGAATAAGAATCTTCTCGCTATCTAAAATCAGATACAGACGTAATTGCGGGGTTATCAAGACCTTATACAATTATATCATGTTCATTTGATTCCATATAACACATAAATGGTTATTCAATAAACAGATAATAAAAATCCTTGAAAAAGGTCAAAACCCAACCTGCAATTGTTAAACGTATAAATGAAAATTATTTATTTAAATGTTTTGATCTAAATGTGTTATCCATAGAATATATGTATGATGTATGGTTTTTGTTTTAATTATTAAATATTATACATTCAATATGTAATCAAATTTCTTCGTAAAAGTATGAAGGAAAAAATGTAGTCATCATAATTTAATAAATATAATATAATCAACAGATGCTCTCGTCTCTAGAGAATAAAGACTATTGCTTGGGTGCATTCCTAGATGTAGCTCAGGATTTTGATAGGGTCTGGCACCTGTGCATGTTTTATAACGTTACAAGCTTCCTAGCCATTCCTTATTACCTTATCATATCTAACTGACCGCTGTTTCAGAGTGAGGCCGTAATGAGTTCCCAGAAGTTAGACAGATACGAGCCGGCATCCCTCAAGGGAGCTTTCTTGGTCCCATACTTTGTATGCTTTGTACTACTGACCTGCTTATGTACTCAAATGCAATCACCACAATCTAAGCAGATGGTAACGCAATGTTGTCCTAACTCGAATCGCTATCCAAGCTACCTCCAACATCCAAAGAACACCCTGAGCTTATTGAAGACTGGTGAACAACTGAAAACTGAATGAACAAAGAGACACCAACTTCCTAGACAGCAGACTGGCGTGAAATCCTCACACCAGATATAAGAGACAACAAATTAACATAAAATTTAGACAACTACGAAGATTTCTAGGACCAAAATTGTACTTCAACACTAAACTAACCTTATACAAGACTTTTCTACAATTACTTTGGACATGGAGAGAGACACTGGGGTTCTGCCAAACCATCTAACATTCAATGAATCATCAACATTCAATCCTTCCTATCAAAAGTCCTCAGACATCTCATCAAGAAATCATGATGACTTTACCATTTCAATCATTAATAGGATCCCTCATGTACATAGCGGTCACTACACAACCTGATATAGCCTATACGGTGAACTCTCTCAGCCAATTCAATAACTCCTATAATGAGGAGCATTGGAAAGCCGCAAAGTGCGTGCTACGCTACCTGAAAGGCACACTAGATTTTGGTTTAAATTGTAAGAAGACTGGCAAACCTATTGGGGCATGTTGTGACACAGACTGGGGCAACTCATTAACTGATAGAAAGTCATACACAGGACCCATATTCAAATTAGGAGCAGCAATTTCATAGGAAGCCAGAAAGCAACAGACAGTTTCACTATCAAGTGTTGAGGCTGAATACATGTCGTTGACAGAAGCAGCAAAGGAGGCTGCTCATTTCAATTCACTCCTGAATAACGTGTTGGAAAATATATCTCCAATCACAATAAAATGTGATAGCCAAGAAATCCTATCTACCATTCATGCACGAAGCACATCGACATAAGACACCACTACATTCGACAAGCCATTGAAGATGGGAAGATAAGGATTGACTACCTGCCCACTGAGAGGATGCCAGCAGATGTAATAAAGGACTTCCAAAGAAGAAACACGATTTTTGTCGCAAAGAATTGGAAATTAAAAGGATAATTAATTAAATAATGGAGATTTGATTGAGAGGGGGTGTTGAAGTTGGTGACGTTACACCAGCTGATACAATTCTCTCTCCATTGTTTGGAATGGTTACGACTAGTAAAATTAGAGTGTCTGGTCTTTAAATGTATGTAACTTGTAATATTGATGTACAATTAAAATTAATAATAAATCTTATTTCTGCTTTTCACTTTTGCCCCTTAATATCGGTTATCTCATCACTAACTCCACTATCCACGATAACCTCAACATTCCTTCTGTCTACGAACTGATGCATTCCCAAAACCAAAAGTTTCACAACAACCTCTTGATCCATCCTAACCCAACAGCTTGAGCCCGCTAAAGACCTCCTTGACCCTTAATTCGTCTGAGGCCAGCATTGGCTGGTTTCTCATGGCATGTCCTTCGAATACAGCACTGGCATTAATATTAGTGCTGGGCTCATATGCAAAAACATGTAATACATACAAATATGTGTAGAGTACAAATAAAATAAAAAACAAAATATCAACAGAAAAGGGGACCATACAAGAGCTACTAACTAATTGGTTAGGTTACCAATTAACCTGATCTACCAGTCCTTGTGTGTTTTGACTTTTCATCCCCTTTAATGATGACTGATGCTTCTGGCTGGTAAAGATAAGACAGACCATCTATGGAAAAGGGGAAAACTCATTTTTCAACAGAAAAAGACCGGCTAGGAAGTAAATAACCAACTACAGGTTCATCTTCCAAACCACAAAAATACACTGATGGACAAAATTTATGCACCACCTTTAAATTTTAATGTTTTTAGGTTTATTTATATTTGCAAATATATATATAACAAATGTGAAATGTTCTACAATTAGCACATGTAAACATGCCAAAAGAGGGTGTTTCACCCCTTTTCCCTATTGTTCACAGTTATCAATATTTAAGGTACATTATACTATAATCTATTCATTTGGCATAGAAACTACAAACTGTGGAATAATAAACCACAATTCTTACTATTGCAATAAAAAAAAAAAAAAAAAAAAAAAAAAAAAGGAGGATAAATAAAAAGAAGGTTTATTGCTGTTTTATTTTTATTATTATTGTTAAGTACCATTAGTGCAGATAACGATGAGCCTGTGTTTATTGTAGGCCATGGGGCTTTGGGAAATGTTTAAATTATGGGACAAAAATTCGAAATTCTAATTAAAGAACAGGAATAAAGTTTATAATTTAAAATGACCTTTTTGGATACATTTGGCCTGCCAAATTAAAGCTTTGAATGGCAATAGGATAGATTAGTTTGAGTGGATTTGGAGCTTTGTGGCATTCAACAGAAGAGATATAGCTAACCTAAGATAAAAGGTTTAAATGTTAGGGCAAGAAATGATCTTAGCCGTTAATACACCGTTAAAAATTAATAATAATATATATAAATTTATGTATATTAATAATAATACTCTATGGTATATATGCTTTTGTATTGTAGGTATTGATAAATTACTGTAATATACTTATATAAATGGCAGAGAAAAAAAATGCGCATCCCCCGTATGCGCATATATATAATGCTTAAATATAATAAAAAATTCTCTATTCTCTTCTGAATAAAGATTTTTAAAGTAATTAATTTGTACCTAGATAGAGAAATATAGAAACAAAACCATCAAATTATGCAGATCACCACCTTGCAGACTTCAACACAATATTTGAAAATAAACAAGACAATTGTACAAGTATTTGTATTTATTTGTATTTGTACAAGACTCAAAAAAAAATAAAATAAAAAAAATAAAAATTAAATAAATAAAATAAACATTGCAACTTGGATAAAATTGCAGTTAAAACAGTTTTAACCCAGAAAATGTGACATACAAGAAGAGACAAATATTTTAGACATTTTAAATCAAAATTTTTGCATGAAATTTTCAAGTCAATTCTTGCCATCAAAGAGAATGAAAAGCTCAAGTAAGGAAAATTAATAAAATCTGAAAAAAAAAACCCTGTAAAAATGAATTATTCTAAAGAAGAAATCAACTTAGCGCATATCTGCATAGCCACAAGACAGTTAAATGATGGATTTTCTGAGTTAAAAAAAGAAAAAAAAATTGAAACAAAATTCAATATTCTAATTAACGAACAGGATAAAACTTTATAATTTAAAATGGCTTTTGAGGATTCATTTGGCCTACCAAATTAAGTATTTTGAAAGGATAAGTTAAAGCTTTGGACGGCAATAGGATAGATTAGTTTATGAGTGAATGTTTGGAGTCAGAGCTTTATAGCACTCAGAAAGCATATAACTGACTTAATTTAGAAGTTTTAAATATATCGGTTAGGGTATCAAATGACCTTAGCCATAAAACGCCCTTAAAAATTAATAATAATAATTAAAAATGTTTATAAATTTATGTATATTTACAATAATACTCTATATGCTTTTGAATTGTATATATTTTTGGAATTGATAAATTACTGTAATATACTTATGTAAATGTCAGAGAAAAAAATGCACATCCCCATATTCGTATATATATATATAATGCTTAATACAATAAAAAATTCTCTATTCTCTACTGAATAAAGATTTTTAAAGTAATTAATTTGTACCTGGATAGAGAAATATAGAAACAAAACCATCAAATTATCCAGATCACCACCTTACAGACTCCAACACAATATTTGAAAATAAACTTGTACAAGACTCAAAAAAATAAAAAATAAAATAAACATTGCAAATTGGATACAATTGCAGTTAAAATTGTTTTAACATAGAATATATGACGATAAAGAAGAGACAAATAATTTAGACATTTTAAATCAAAATTTTTCCATGAATTTTCAAGTTGATTCTTGCCATCAAAGAGATGGAAAACTCAAGTGCCAAACGAATTAATAAAACTGAAAAATATTTTAAAAATGAATTATTAGACAGAAGGAATCAACTTAGCGCATACCCGTGTAGCCACATGACAGTTAAATGATGGATTTTCTAAGTTAAAAAAAAAAAAATGGAAACAGAATTCGAAATTCTAATTAAAGAACAGGATAAAACTTTACAATTTAAAATGGCTTTTGAGGATACATTTGGCCTGCCAGCTTAAGTATTTTGAAAGGATAAGTTAAAGCTTTGGACAGCAATAAGATAGATTAGTTAATGAGTGAATGTTTGGAGTCAGAGCTTTATTCGCACTCAGAAAGCATATAACAGACTTAACTTAAAAGTTTTAAATATATTGGTTAGGGTGTAAAATGACCTTAGCCATAAAACACCCTTAAAAATTAATAATAATTAAAAATGTATATAAATTTATGTATATTAATAATAATACTCTATATGCTTTTGAATTGTATATATTTTTGGAATTGATAAATTACTGTAATATACTTATGTAAATGACAGAGAAAAATGCACATCCCCCATATTCGTATATATGTAATGCTTAATACAATAAAAAATTCTCTATTCTCTACTGAATAAAGATTTTTAAAGTAATTAATTTGTACCTAGATAGAGAAATGTAGAAACAAAACCATCAAATTATCCAGATCACCACCTTGCAGACTCCAACACAATATTTGAAAATAAAATTGTACATTATTCAACAAAATAAAAAATAAATAAATAAAATAAACATTGCAAATTGGATACAATTGCAGTTAAAATTGTTTTAACATAGAATATATGACGATAAAGAAGGGACAAATAATTTAGACATTTTAAATCAAAATTTTTGCATGGAATTTTCAAGTCAATTCTTGCCATCAAAAGGAACGAAAAGCTCAAGTGATGAAAAATTAATAAAATCTGAAAAAAATACTCTAAAAATGAATTATTCTAAAGAAGAAATCAACTTAGCGCATACCTGCGTAGCCACAAGACGGTTAAATGATGGATTTTCTGAGTTAAAAAAAGGGAAAAAAAATCTAGGTGTAATTAGAGAGAAAAAAAAGGGGGCGCCAAACGATCTGAAAAAACAGGTTTCTCTGGGAGTGGGACGTCGTTCCTCATCCTCCCGTAATCCCTACCACTTGATGAATTACGCAATTTTTGATATCAAAAATCCGATTCATTATCGATTCTATAAACCAAATTTAGTCCTTTTTTTCTCGTTTTTTTAAGTTTAATGAATGATTTTTGTATTTGTTTATGTTGTCGATGTTAAATTATGAATAAGTCGGTGTTTAGAATCAATCTGATTGTTACAAGATTGAATATTTTATTTTTTGTTTTTAAGTTTAATATTTGTTTTTTATTTTTTTATTTTCAGTATTGCAAGTCAATAAGGGGTTTATTATTATTGATTAAATGAGATATTTAATAAATTTTTTTTTATCTCTTATCTTTGGTGGTGTGCGTTTTCCCGCTTAAAGGCGGGCCGACCTCTCGTTTGGCGCTAGGCTAAATGAACAAGCAACAGGTTTCTCTACTCGATATCGTCTCTTGTTCATTGTTCCTTTTTATTTAAAGTTCTGTGAGCTTTTAAGTTTTTTATTTTATTTTTTGAAAAGTAAAGGAAAAAATGGACATAGCCGAGGCTCAAGAGGGTCAGTCGAAAATTAGAGACGAAGTCGGAATCCGGTGTCAGAAGCTGTTCCAAGATTTCTTGGCCGAGTGAGTGATTTTTTAAACTTTGCCTTTTCCCCGATTATATTTGTACTGGAAATAAAATAATATCTTTCCAGGTACCGGGAAGACGGTGAGATCAAATATCTAGATTCGGCGAAGGAGCTTCAGTCATTGGAGAGGTGTACACTCGAAGTCAGCTTCGAAGACATTGAGAAATACAATCAAAACCTTGCCACTGCGATAGTCGAAGAATACTTAAGGTATGCTTTGTTCGATTGGAGAAACGTTCTTCTCTCACTGAAAGCGTTTTATTTTAGACTCTACCCATATTTGTGCCAAGCGGTGAAGAATTTCGTCAAAGACCATGGAGAAGTCACGGGCGACAGGGATTTCTACGTCGGGTTCACGGATGTACCTACGAGGCACAAAATTAGAGAATTGACGACGACTAAGATCGGCTCGCTAATAAGGATTTCGGGCCAAGTCGTAAGGACTCATCCTGTACACCCTGAACTCGTTGCTGGCACATTTACCTGCCTCGATTGCCAGACAGTTGTTAAAGATGTGGAACAACAATTCAAAGTAGGTTTGATATCGTTTTGACGGTAAACTGGTGAGATTTAGTTTGCATGATTATTCTGCTGATGCTCTGTTCTTGTTCCAAAGTATTAATATAGTCGTCAAAATGTGTGGTGATTAGTGACCATTAATCAATATTTATTTGTAAATCGTGAGATGCGGTCCGGTGTGATGTAGCTTTCAGAAACATTTTCTTTATCGTGCCAACGTTTCGATCTTTATTGAGATCATCTTCAGGGCCTGGGATTTACAAACATTGTTTACATATAACAATTGAATTTATACAATGCAAAATATATTTTTTATATATTCAATCAAAGTATTTCTACTCACTCAAAGTGTTTGTCTTCTGTGTAATTGTGCCATTCTTGCGTGTCGTGTCGAGAGTGCCAGTGAGATTTTGCTATTTTGTGTTTATATACGTTGGATTTTGAAGGGGTGGGGAAGGATGTCTGTATAGAAAAGACAAAGTAGAAATACTTTGATTGAATATATAAAAAATATATTTTGCATTGTATAAATTAACTTTTCCACATCCAAAATGTAATTGTTATATGTAAACAATGTTTGTAAATCCCAGGCCCTGAAGATGATCTCAATAAAGATTGAAACGGCACGATAAAGAAAATGTTTTTCTGAAACCTACATCACGCCAGACCGCATCTCACGATTTCCAAATAAATAGTCTTCAAAGTCGTACTTATTCTAATTGCTTGACGACCTTTTGTGTGGATGAAGGTAAGGTTCAAAATCCAACAGGTCAGAGAAATATTAAAAAACATTTATAATTTATTGAAGTCATCAGTAGCAGTCAAGAATGAGGTAGTTTAGAAAAACGCCTTTTTCATTTTTTTGTTGATGTTTCAACCTTTATTCATGTCATCTTCAGGGCCTGGTTAAATTTCAAAACATGTTGATAGGAAAAAATACAATACAGATGTAACTATAAATTTTGAACTAAGTATTTCATAACATGAATTTGTATTCTGCTGTTTTTATATTTTTGTGACAGGGTGGGGGACAAGGTAAATCTGGGAAAATTTCTTTTATCATAGGCGGTTTTATTTAACTCAAAGAAGGTCGAGGATGTAGATTTTCTAGATTATTCAATATTGGAAAGGAAGTTAATTATTAAGGACGATAACAAAGGAAAGGGAAATATAAAAATAAATTAATCCTTAATTGTCTAGTGGTCACAATTTACCATATTAATTATTACAATTAATTATTCTTTTTATCGAAAGTTTTGGTTGAGATGAAAAATTAGTGTCACGAGCGTGATTCGGTATTGTTATATAGATATATATTAAAAATATATTACTTTCTTTTGTTACAGTACACACAACCAACATTATGTAGAAATACGACATGCACGAACCGAAGGAGGTTTATGATCAACGTCGACAAATCTAAGTTTGTCGACTTTCAAAAAGTCAGGATACAGGAGACCCAGAGTGAACTACCTCAAGGGTGTATTCCTCGAAGGTAAGGCATATTTTTATACATCGGGTATTTCAGGTTCGAAGCTATTGTTTTTGTTTAGCGTCGAAGTAGTATTACGTGGAGAAGTTGTAGAACTTGTCCAAGCGGGCGATAGGTATGACTTCACTGGGACGTTGATCGTTCTGCCTGATGTCGGAGCCATTGCACTACCTGGAGCGAAAGCTGAACCTTCTAGAAAGAATAGTGAGTACAATTAAACCTTTTTTTATTTTTTTGCCTTTTGTCCTTGTTTTCTATGCAGGTACAGTCGACTCTTGATAACTCGTACCTTACTAACTCAAATTTTTTTCAAATCCCCCTTATTTTCCTATAGTTTTTGCTCACTTTTTTACCTCTATAAGCTGAACGTTTCAATGAAAACTTGGATTAAGCGGGGAACATGAAATGCTAACCTACTCTATGCTACACGATGCAACCAGTTTCCCCACTGTCCAGATTATCATTGAGTAGCGTTGAGTACAGTCGGAGACAAAAGAATCGGGCACTCATTTTTATTTTAAACTAAATGTATTTTCATTGTTATATTAATTGGAACATGCATATTTTAATGTAAACCAAATTAAACAAAATCCAAATTTCATGAGTTTTTATCAAAATTATTTAATTTTAAGGGTTTGACAAAAAATTTATAAGAACAACGAATTCCATTTATTGATAGAATGAATTTAACCAAAAATTTGCAGTTTTGCTCATGAAATTTAACTAACAATTTATTACATGGTTTTGCTCATGAAATTTAACTAACAATTTATTACTCATTTTTGCTCATGAAATTTAACTAACAATTTATTACACGGTTTTGCTCATGAAATTTAACTAACAATTTATTACACGGTTTTGCTCATAAAATTTAACTAACAATTTATTGAACGGTTTTGCTCATGAAATTTAACTAACAATTTATTGAACGGTTTTGCTCATGAAATTTAACTAACAATTTATTACTCGGTTTTGCTCATGAAATTTAACTAACAATTTTTTTTACACGGTTTTGCTCATGAAATTTAACTAACAATTTATTACATGGTTTTGCTCATGAAATTTAACTAACAATTTATTACACGGTTTTGCTCATGAAATTTTAACTAACAATTTATTACACGGTTTTGCTCATGATATTTAACTAACATTTTATTACAACGTTTTGCTCAAGAAATTTAACTTAGAATTTATTACACGGTTTTGCTCATGAAATTTAACTAACAATTTATTACATGGTTTTGCTCATGAAATTTAACTAACAATTTATTACACGGTTTTGCTCATGAAATTTTAACTAACAATTTATTACACGGTTTTGCTCATGATATTTAACTAACATTTTATTACAACGTTTTGCTCAAGAAATTTAACTTAGAATTTATTACACGGTTTTACTCATAAAATTTAACTAACAATTTATCATGGTTTTGAGGAATGTGTGTGCTGTGGAAACCCAGCTTTAAGCCAGTAGAAGGCATTAAGAAAAAGGGCGACATTGCTAAAGGAGGACGAAATTTTTTCAACTCCCACAAGAATACAAGGCTTCCCTACATTTGGCAGTTTGGAAGGAAAAATAGGAAAACCTCTTTTATTTGAAAAACATGATAACTCCAATTTTTGAATTTCTCCGAGTTATCGAGAGTCGACTGTGTAAGGATAATCAGTGAGATAGTATTAGCCATGAAGCAAGAAAACTTTGCATTAAATTACTTCTATTGGTCAAATGGTGTAACATTTAGGCCTAAATTAAAACCTAATCCTATTTATGAGATTATTTGCAAAGTTCATTAAATTTCTGACAGTTCTAAGTTTAAAGTTATGGCACTATGGCTATTGTTCTCTCAAAATTGTGACATTTATCAGTTATTCCTTTATTTTTACTAATTTTTTAGATTAAAATAAATTGTTTCATTTAATTTTTATTTTTAAGAATATGGCTCTGATGGTGTACGAGGATTAAAATCCTTAGGTGTTCGCGATCTAAAGTATAAAATGGCCTTCCTTGCTTGCAGTGTTACTCCAACAAGCCCAAGGGTAGTTAACTGGAAAAAATCTCTTTTAATTCAATATTTCCCAAATAATTAACTCTTAATGTAATAGTATTCAATTTTCAGTTCGGTGGCTGCGGTGAACTTTTAATGGAGGATGTAACGCCTGAAATGATGAGGAAAAATATGTCTGAGGCCGAGTGGGCTAAAATTTATGAAATGAACCAGGACAAGAACCTATACAAAAACCTCATTAACAGTCTTTTCCCGTCGATCCACGGCTGTGAACAAGTCAAAAAAGGTACATCAGTCATTTTTAAACTGAGCTAGTCTAATATTTCTTTTTAATCTTGTTAGTCATATATTTAAAAAATTAAATTTCACTGGTTTTTTTTTTTTTTTTTTTTTTTTTTTTTTTGTAAAAATAGGTGTTATGCTTATGCTTTTTGGGGGTGTCCACAAGACAACAACTGAAGGGACCCAGTTAAGGGGTGATATAAATTGTTGCATTGTAGGAGATCCAAGTACTGCTAAATCGCAATTATTGAAACAGGTATTAAAACATTTCTATTTAAAATAATTATTTTTAATTGTTAACACGTGACTTTTTCAGGTTGCTGATCTATCACCAAGAGCGGTTTATACATCTGGTAAAGCTTCTTCAGCTGCTGGTCTTACAGCAGCAGTTGTGAGAGATGAAGAATCAGGTGATTTTGTAATCGAAGCCGGAGCACTCATGTTGGCCGACAACGGTGTTTGCTGCATTGACGAATTCGATAAAATGGATCCACAAGATCAAGTCGCCATCCACGAAGCCATGGAACAACAGACCATATCCATCGCCAAAGTCTGTTTTTAAAAATTATATTTTACATTCAAGATTTCAATGTTCTTTCTTTAAACTTTTTAGGCTGGGGTAAGAGCCACTTTAAATGCTAGAACTTCAATATTGGCTGCTGCTAATCCAGTCGGGGGGCATTACGATCGTACAAAATCTTTACAGCAAAATGTCATGATGTCGGCACCGATTATGTCAAGATTTGATTTGTTTTTTGTTCTGATCGATGAGTGCAATGAAGTCAGTTTTTAACTTAATTTTTTTTAATCTCCCCATTAGAGGCGAGAGTAGTTTTATTTTTTATTTTATTTTAGGTGATTGATTATGCCATAGCTCGTAAGATCGTTGGCTTGCACAACAATATGGAAGAAAACGTAGACAAAGTCTACAGCCAAGAAGAGGTTTTGAGGTATATCACATTTGCAAGGCAGTTCAAGCCTATGATTAGTGAGGTAAGAACATCAAGCGTATTTGAACTAAACTCATAAACTAAATAAATGTTTTTTGTAATATAGGAGGCTGCAAATGTCATTGTTGAATTGTACACCATTCTCCGTCAGAGAGATGGTGCCACGGGAGGCAAATCGACATGGAGGATCACTGTGAGACAATTAGAAAGCTTGATACGTCTTTCAGAGGCAATGGCAAAATTGGAATGTTTGGATGAGGTACTGATAGTATCATTCATTTTATTAATTATATATATTTATTTTTAATTAGCTTACTAAACACTTAGTCTGATTTGCCCTCTAACATCCTATTGTTTCACACTATTTTTTTCCCCAAGGAATACTGACACAAAAAAATTGCTTGTAGCAACAACAAACTAATAAGGCTTGAATGAAAATTTGAAAGACAAAATAAAATAAACAGAAACTTGTATTAATTTAAATCCCTGTTGGCCAACTAATTAAGTAAAAAATAAAATAATACATGTAAGCAGGAACGCACCCGATGCAAATCCAATGTCCAATTATTCATAAGATTCTATTACATGTGCACATCTGCCCAATGCCTTGCAAAGCTACCCTATTCCACACTAAGCGATGCGACTTAAGTTCCCTACTACTGTCCAGATTTTCGCCAATTAGCTTTGACTACAGTCGAGGACGAAAGAACTGTTTGCACATATTTTATTTGAACCTATATGTATTTTTGTCCTTATATTTGCTTTTGTAATGTACACCAAATTAAAAGAAATCAAAAATTCTTAAGTTTTCTACAAATTATTTAATTTTAATGGTATGGTAGAGAATGTAATCCCATTTATTGATAGAATGAATTTAACTAACAATTTATTACAAGGTTTTGTTTATAAAATTTAACAAACAATTTATTACACAGTTTTGCTCATAAAATTTAACTAACAATTTTTTACACGGTTTTGCTCATGAAATTTAACTAACAATTTATTATACGGTTTGGCTCATGAAATTTAACTAACAATTTATTATACGGTTTTGCTCATGAAATTTAACTAACAATTTATTACACAGTTTTGCTCATGAAATTTAACAAACCATTTTTTACACGTTTTTCTAATAAAATTTACCTAACAATTTATTACACGGTTTTGCTCATAAAATTTAACTAACAATTTATTACACGGTTTTGCTCATAAAATTTAACAAACAATTTATTACACGGTATTACTCCTAAAATTTAACTAACAATTTATTACACGGTTTTGCCCATAAAATTTATTACACGATTTTGTTCATAAAATTTATTACACAGTTTTGCTCATAAAATTTAACAAACAATTTTTTACACGTTTTTCTAATAAAATTTACCTAACAATTTATTACACGGTTTTGTTCATAAAATTTAACTAACAATTTATTATATGGTTTTGCTCATAAAATTTAACTAACAATTTATTACACGGTTTTGCTCATAAAATTTAACAAACAATTTATTACACGGTATTACTCATAAAATTTAACTAACAATTTATTAAGCGGTTTTGCTCATAAAATTTAACTAACATTTTATTACACAATTTTTCTCATAAAATTTAATTAACAATTTATTACACAGTTATGCTAATAAAATTTAACTAACAATTTATTACATGGTTTTGGTAATAAAATTTAACTAACAGTTTATTATGCGGTGGTCTTGCTCATGAAATTTAACTAACAATTTATTACACGATTTTGCTCATAAAATTTAACTAACATTTAATGTACACTGGAGATGGAGGGGATCGGCACGATATGCCTTTGTCAACTGCAGTGCCACTCAAAAAATTGAGTTGAAACTGTAAAAAGTTGAAGGAAACTCCTTTCTACCACAATAAAGAGAAATAGAAAAATATTAAGATGGCTTATTTATGTATTATTATGGTTTATTGAAATACTTGCATTTTTTATTTACACCAAGTTAACTTATGGTAATAAGTTAACATTTTTGAGACACCAATTTTGTACATAAATTAAAGTTAATTTTAAAAAACTTGAAAGAACTCACTTTTACATGTTAAAGAATAGAAGCCAGTCATTAAAAAATGGGAGATTTTATCAGGTCCAATTTTGGAACATACATAAAAAAAAACAATAAAAAAAAAACTTGTGAGGCAAGGGGTTAAGTTCTGATTATCAATACAATTTTTGTAATGACAGGTTCAGGCGAAACATGTCAGAGAAGCTTTTGATCTACTGAACAAGTCAATAATCCGTGTTGAACAACCTGATATTCACCTGGAAGAAGAAGAAGCCGACGATGCTCTGGGAACGGAAGAAAGTGGGCTAATTGCCTTTTAATTTGATCATTTATATTTACTGGTTTTATATTGTTATAATTACAGCTGCGATGGAGACGGACCAAGCAGAACTTCCCAAAAAGAAACTCACCCTTTCATTTGATGAATACAAAAAACTATCTCAACTTCTCATTACTCACCTCAGATCCGGAGATGTAGAAAGTATATATCTTTTAAATAATTATTTATTTTCTGTTATTTTATGTAAATTTTATTTTTAAGAGAATGGAATAAGAAGAAGTGAATTAGTCAATTGGTACCTCGAACAAATAGGCAATCAAATTGAATCCGAAGAAGAACTGGTTGAAAAGAGAATACTCATCGAAAAAGTCATAGACCGACTTATATACCATGTAATTTTTGATAAAAGAATTTTTATATGTATTTAATTGACTGTTTTACTAAAAAACGTTATTCTTTGTTCCAGGATAATATTATTATTTCGTTAACACAGTCAAAGGAAGAAGAAGAAAATGATGCTGATGGAAAGGAAGATGAAGATATGATTGTTGTTGTTCATCCCAACTACATTCTTGATATTTAGGATAGAAATGTGCTTTTTTTTGTGTAATGTGTAAATCCATCACATTTCTTTTACAATATGTTTTTGTACTCAGTACTGTAAATAAATCCTTTCAATATACTTTTTACTAATGTGTTCAACCTTTCTTTTTTTAAATTTACTTTATACCTTTCCTCTTAGTATACTGGAGCAATAATAAATAAACAAATCAATCGGTGGTTAGAGGGTGAAACTAACATAAGCCTAACTTCAATATGTCAAATTCATAGTTAAGTCGTAACAAATTATCTGATAATAAGGTTAATAAATCTAGAAATACCAGGAAGAATAATAACTGAGAAAAGTGGGCTTTTGAGAGGACATCCATTTCCATTAGTCCAACTCTTGACTGGACAGTCATCACTCCTATGAGTCAGTCAACTTTAATTTTTTACAAATTTATAACTTATTCTACTATCATTATGCAGCCATTACGCCATAGTATCTTGCAGTTTGCCTCTTTCCCCCATTGTTCGCAAACTTTTTTTAAAAATTAAACATTTTATTTGAACCCTATACATATTAAACATATGATTGCAAAACGTTTTTTCACACGGTGACAGCACTAATGCCAACAGGTAAGCCAAAACAATACTCACCTATGAAAAGACTGAATGGGCTATTGACAACTGCAGCCCATACAAATCTCCAGGAACAGATGGAATATATATTATATAATAAAAACCCCTTAATAAAATATTAACATGGCTATCAGAAAGGAAAATCCTGTGAATCAGCACTACACCAAATAAAATAAATAAATGATACACATAGAGGGTTCACTGAACAACCAAGAAAAAGCATTAGGAACCTTCCCAAGAAGGTTGCATTGAAGGAGCATTTTATAATACTACTTTGAAGCAATGGTTACATCATGCAAACAGTGAGGAACTGACAAAACCTGCTGCAGATGGACGGAATCAATGCTAAAAAGCAGAAAAGTGCAGGCCTCCATGTTCAACAAAAAAGTAGAAGCAATGGTGGCGAGAGGATGTCTGCAAGGAGGAATACTCTTGCCTCTGCTGTGGATTGTGGTAGTGGATGACCTCATGTGCAAACTAAATGAAAGTGGAATTTGTATCCAAGACAACACCCAAATAAGGAGGAGGAAACAGCCACCCGCATCATCTTTGAATGCGAAGCAACTGCTCAATGGAGATTTAACCTAACATACGAAAATAGTCTAGGGAATGAAATTGTAGCGGTGACAGTCAATGACCTGATACTTCTTATTTGTATACTTCGTATTTGTAAAATTTAAACAATGTTTATAAATCCCAGGCCCTGAAGATGACCTCAATAAAGATGGAAACGTTGGCACGATAAAGAAAATGTTTTTCTAAAACCTATGTCACGACCTCCAAATAATAATTGTAATTTTTTTTGAAAGAACAAACTTTGCTTGGAACTTTGGGGATGGGGTTAGGGATGGTTAGGGGTTTTTTTTTAATGGCTTTAGGTACTGTGCATATTAGCCAATGCCAGACAATATATTATGTGTAATTCGTATTGGGGGTATCGTGAAAAAAGGGCTATTGGCGACGGCGGGAATTGAACCCACGACCGCAATGGCACCATCCTTTGGTACACAGATGGATCTAGAACGCAGGAAGGTATGGGGGCAGGAGTGTTCGGACCCGGAACCAAATACTCAGAACCCATGGGAAAGCACACCAGTATCTTCCAAGCTGAAATTCATGCAATTGAAAGATGTATCCAATTCAATCTAAATAGAGGATACAAAAACAAGAATATAGCTATCATGTCAGATAGCTAAGCAGCCATCAAAGCACTAAGCTCAAATACCATTAGTTCAAGGATGGTGCTGAACTGCAAAACCAGATTAAATGTATTAGGCTCGCAGAATAAAGTCAGCCTCTGCTGGGTCCCAGGACACATGGGAGTAGAAGGCAACGAGAAAGCGGACACCCTTGCAAGAAAAGGGGCTGCCACACCGCTAATAGGACCCGAACCCTTCTGTGGAATAGGAATACACACTATTAACAAATACCTCAGACAGAAGGACAAAAAGAAAATGAGCGAACTTTGGAATTCACTTATTGGACATAGACAATCCAAGAATCTTCTAACCAATTTTGGCAAGAAAGAAATCACAGAATGTGTCAAAGGAAGCAGGAATAGACTGCGAATCCTAACAGGATTCCTGACAGGACACTGTAGATTAAATGAACATCTAAAGAAAATTGGAATAATCCAAGATGGCACATGTAGATTCTGCAAAGAAGTAGAAGAGACACCAACACACTTACTAACAAACTGCGGAGCTACACTAGCCCGCAGGAGGAAGTGTTTTGGGATGTACAATGTGACCATAGAAGAACTACAACCACTGAAACCGGGCCTATTAATCAAGTTTCTTGATGAAATAGGACTCACCGATGTGCTTTAGGCAGAGCACAGGGGATACAATATCTCTTAAAGGGCGCAGTATACCATACCCTGAATTATTATATCTCTATTGGGGGTATCGTGAAAAAAGGGCTATTGGCGATGGCGGGAATTGAACCCACGACCGCGGGGTCTTCGGGGGTTCAATTCCCGCCGTCGCCTCTGGCCCTTTTTCAGTCTGGAACTTGAGTTAGTTGTTTAGGTCTAGTCCTGTACTGTACATGACGGTTTTCTGTTTGTTCCTTCAACTTTAACCCGTTTTTGAAGTAGCTTATAAGTACCGGGCACAACGGGTTGTAGATCTACAATAAAACTGAAATCGCGAAAAAATCGAATTTTTCGTACATGAGGAGTTTCTGAAATGACAGATTCATTTTTTGTATTTGTTTGTAATGGTTTTTATTTCTTATAAAAATCTTGAAATTCATTTTACTAGGCAAAAATTTATGGATTTTGAAAATAATTTAAGCGTTTGGTTATTCGAAATTATGCCTTATTTTACCGCTTATTAGTAAACATCATGGTATTATTATTATTGGGAAGTTCAAACCAAGTGTTTCGCTATCCCTGCTTTGCAGAGGCTCTTGTCTGTGTGGCAAAGGCTAACAGGTTCTCTGTGACTAATTTATGCAGCAATATACCATAAGAGAAGATCAAAGATGGCTTCTGCCTCCCCCCCCCCCCATTAGTTATTGTCACAATGGATCCAGCATCCCGAATATTGCCCGCATCCCTCTTAGCATTAATTCGCTTACATCTAGCTATTTGCTATGATTTATCGGCGTGATATGAAGCAACAGATGCCTTGCACATTGCAGACGTCCGTTACGCCCGAAGGCTTCTGTGATGCATGCCCGGGATTGGAAGGGCGTCGTCACGGGACCCTTGTTGCACCTAGACAAATAATTTTATTGCTTAATTAAACAATTGTTAGATAAATGATAGAGGATCTGGGTTTGGTAAGGACGCCTACAGCCACAGGCAGACCAAAGTGATCGGAAACTACCAAATTTTGTTATGATTTATGTCAGAGTACCATCGAAATTTGTAAATCAACATAAATTATTTAGTGATAGTTTTATGATTTTAAATTTTAACTGGAGCAAGGGGATGCTGAAGAGCAAATAAAATAAAGTATTTGGGACCGTGCCAAGCTGAAACTATTGGGTTGTCCGGAAAATAATGCAGGATTTTGGTATTAAACAAAAAAAAAGAAACTAGTTACTTTAAAGCAATGTTCTTTAATCAAAATAATTTCCCATACTCTCAATACATTTCTCCCAACGTGTTGGTAACTTATTAATTCCGTCTGAGTAGTATTCAGAATTTTTAGAATTGATAAAGTCAATAAATGCATTTTCCAGTTCCGTTTGATTTTTGAATATTATGTGTTGTAAGTAGTGGTCCAGGTGTCTAAAAAAATGGTAGTCAGTAGGCGAGAGGTCCGGAGAGTAGGGTGGGTGAGGCAAAGTTTCATAGCCAAGCTCCAATAATTTTTGTGACGTTACACGTGACACATGTGGTCGAGCGTTGTCATGCAACAAAATGGGCCCTTTCCGATTGACCAAAGAGGGCTTCATTACTGCCAATTTCTGATGCATGGTATTAATTTGGTTACAGTATGATTCAGCATTGATGGTTTCGCCAGGATTTAAGAAGCTGTAGTGTATTAAACCAAATGAAGCCCACCATACCGTAACCATTACCTTTTTTTGATGAGTTGGGGGCTTTGGAAAATGTATTGGAGCTTCTCCTTTGTCGAGCCACTGTCCAGAATCCACTTTTCGTCACATGTAACAATTCTGGCCAGAAATGGGTCATTTTTGTTTCGACAAAGAAGTGATGCACAAACATCAAAGCGCTGATTTTTTTGGCGATCGTTTAATGAGTGTGGAACCCAATTTTCGAGTTTTTTCACTTTTCCAATCGCCTTGAGGTGGTCAGCGACGGTCGTTTTACTGACTTTGAGTTGCTCTGCAAGTTCTCGAACAGTTGTTTTGGGGTTTTCTTCCACCACTGATCGCAGAACATCATCATTAAGAGAGGAAGGCCTTCCACGACCTTCTTCATCTTCAAGGCTGAAATCTCCCTCCCGAAATTTTTTAAACCACCTTTGCACAGTGCACTCATTAACACAACCCTCGCCCCAGACTTGGTTAATGTTTCTAGCCGTTTGGGCTCCGCTTCGGCCGAGTTTAAACTCGTAAAAGAAAATCGTACGAAATTCTCGCTTTGACATTATAAGGATGACTGAATTATTTCCAAGTAGCGGAATGCTACAGAGGTAAACAAACAATATCATTTGGAAGAGGATTAATAAGTGTTGACATTCATACAAATGAGTAATCCTGTAAACGTAAACAGAATATTTTATATAGATTTTTTTTAATGAAAACTTAAAATCCTGCATTATTTTCCGGACAACCCAATACTTTGAAGGTTTATTTATTGGGCTGAAAATAATGCCCTTACTCAATATTTGGGGCCGATAAACTTTAAGTTCCTACTTGCTCACTGCTAATTACTTTTTAATTCATATATAGTCGACTCTTGATGGGGTACCCAAAGGACTA